CCAAGCAGAACAGAAATATTGATATAATGTTGACCAAATATTTAAACTTATTGGCAAGATATTAAAACGCAATATTGCACCAATGGCAAAATGTGAACATTCTGCAATATTGTATATATATTCAAACTCAATATTAATGAAAGATTGAAAAACTATACACATACATACTGAACACCAATAATGAAGTGATATTGTGCGTTTATATATCAGCAACATCGTTTTTTTTATTACACGATATTGACTGATTATTGGAACTCGATGACCATGATATATCAAAAAAGTACACTCATATATATTGAAGAATAATATTAGAATAGTAATGCATATTTGTATAGGTGCAACATTGTTGTCCATTATTTCATAATATTGGTGGGTTATTGGAAATGGAGTTCGACGCAATATTTAAAAACTATTAATAGATATATATATATATATTATGTATAGTAATATTGAAGCATTTACATAATTTACACCAAGTTAACATAGGTATCAAAAGTTAAACCTTATAACAAAATGAATTGCTATAAGCCATTCACAATCATTTTTGAATCTCATATACGAGATATTTGTTGGCAATAGTGTTATTTGCAATGCAATAACATTACATTTTCATATCGTAATTGATGACAAGGGCGTTAATTAATTTAAATTAATTTTAATTCTAATTCATGATGAAACTGAAATGGAATATTTAAAAATTAAACATTTGACGTGCCACATTTGACGCTCGGCTAACAAAAAAAATATCGACGTGAATAGCTTACTTATTTGTACTAAAGTAACTGTTTAAGAATGTAAAAAAATGTACCAATAAGAGAAAAAAAAATGTACCCCTATAATAAAAAAATGCTGCTCTTTTCTTGAGACTTTTGTAGATAACTTCTATTTTCTATGACTTCTCCGACTTATCTGTAATAATATTGTGTTAACTTATCATTCTTACACAGGGTGTAAAGTTACCTTCTGGTGCTCTACTTTTTCTTCCACCTTCCCAATCTGCTGCACCTGCCAGAGCAGAACTAATATTGCTTAGGATCTCTTGCTCTGTTGCATTTGGGTAATTTACCCTTACTGCCACTGCAATAATAAATAAAGTTAGTAAGAAATTTACAAGTAAGTATGTTATTTCATAATATTAAGACAACTTTTGATCATAAACGTTCATGGGACTTAAAAGAAATGTTTTGTTTGTTTAGCGAAATAGTTCCAAGACTGTCAATTTTGAAAACAAACATAAACTAACTAGTTCAACATAGTGCAGTGCAAATAAACAAAACCCACTACCTATGCGACTACCAAGATAATTGATTCAGTTAATTAGGTTACAAACAAATAATTTTTACAATTTACACTACAAAAAATAAAATAACTAGATACACTAAGTTTACACTTATTTTGGCATGGAGATAAAAATGACTTCAAATTTAATACATTACCATAAATAGCTTCTAAAATTTTTATTAATGTTGACAAATTCTTCTTTCCCTTCTTGCCTTTGGCAGAATATAGTACAGCAAGGTTTTTTTCCAGTAAACGTTTAATAATGCTGTGAACATTTTTTCTTAGAGTAAGTCCTCCCACCAATGATAATATTTTTGCCTACAAATATAATAACTATTAGGTGAACATAAATCACAATAATTTATTTACCAATTCGTTGAACAAGCCTGCATCATTTAGTTTTCCATTTAAATCTTCTAGCTCATGAACTGACTCAATGGGAACTTTGAATTTATCTAATTGTAAACTTGGAATGTTATGGGTTACATGAATATTTTTTACTTCAGCTAAAATGTTGCCGATTTTCTTATTAATTTCGGTTATGTCAAACTTTATAGCAGCAACCGCTTTTAAAATTGTATGAACTGTGGTAGAACTTTCATTAGCACCCCCATCTAGAAATAGAATAATTTAATTTGTAATAAAATTCATACATATGGAATTATAACTGTAAGTAATGAAATTATTACCTAGTGGAATTGCTTCAACCTGGAAAGAAGGCGAAGGTGACACTGATTCTACAGACTTCTCAGAACCATACCGATTATCGAGTGGTTCTTTTTCTACCACGTATACATTTTTCATCAATTGACTGGTAACATGTGCACTTCGTACTTTTTCATTACTACTTTCCGATTCGGTATCATCAACATTAGATGTGTACATTAGCATGTTGGTTTTTCTTTTTGCCATCGCTAGGTTTGTAACGGTTCCTTTGTAAGTGGCGTTACATTCCATATAATTTATGTTAGCATCTGGGTCATCGCAGTTATCAATTAATTTTTGTAGTTTTTGACGTGGTACCTTTGGCCATAGGTATGTGGTGTTTGTCTCATCAACAGCCCATGATGATGGGACATACCCCACAGCGTTCTCCTTCTCCCATATTACAATATCCCATGTTCCCATCCTTTCTGGTTGATCTTTAGTAAAAATTTGTACCCTAAAAATGTAATAACAACTGGTAAGTATACAAATATTTACTTCTGTGCAACACATGTAAATATAAATAAATATACAAAGGCAATTTAATGACACTTGTATATCTAGATGTTTGAATAGAAAACTTTGATCATTAGAAAATATCACTTTTTGAATACAACAAAAATAGCATTTTCCATAATTTACGCACTACATTATCGCAGAGCAATTTTTTGGAAATATGAATGGTCAAATTTTGAATGTTCCAACAAATAGAAACACAAGAAAATTGCTTTGTGTTGGTGCGGTAAATGGACAACGCTTTCAGAAAAAACTTAACCTGGGATCTATACGTACTTCTCCACTCACCCTTTAACAATGATGTAATAACCCAATCGCATATGCAGGAAATAATGCCTTTTCTAAATGTAATATTATACATTTTGTAGACACATCATCCACTCCTACCACAAACTCAAAAGTGGATAAGTCCTTTACTTTAAAAACGTTTAGCTTGGATGACTTAATAGGACTGTCAAAAACATCCCAGCAAGATTGAAATATGGGACCCTTCAATTGAATAGGCATATCTTTTGTTTGTAAAATTACCCTAACTTTCATTACTTTCCCATTTTTTAAGATCACATGAGAATCACAATCTTTCGCAACATTTAACTTATATTTGTCCTCAACACTTATCTGAATAATTTTATTGCATGTTCTTTTAATTATGGTAACACCTTGTTTAACGGTATTGTATTTAAATCCTTTGTTTCTCTCTTCTGCCAGTCTCATACATGCTTGAGCTAATGGTTTGTTCGGTGTACGTAACATTTTCTTAATTTTACCCAAGTAGTTCTCAAAAACAAAGCAATTAATTTTGTCTAAACTTTCATTATTATTAACACTGTCTTCAACTAAATGTAAAAGGGAATGAGTATTATAAACTGGCTCCTCTGGTGTGTAAACTTTTTCAAAATCTCCACAGCATTTTCTAATACACTTTTTAGCTATAGCACCCAAATCGTTTCTAAAATCTCCTCTACAACATATTCTCATTGCACTAAACAAAAGTAAAAAGTGTTTGTACATAGCAGGAGGTAAAAGATCGTGAAGAATGAATGGTCCGATGTATAAAAGGAATGTACGAAACTCTGTCGCTTTCCATCTGTCCAGTTCCTCAATTATCCGAGGTTTCCGATTAAACTCTACACTCATTTGGTCTCTAACAATTAGCATTCTTCGTGAAGCTTCCTTTCGCATAGATGGAGCAATTCTAAATAACATATTTCCTTTAAACCAGTGATTTAGTAGCCGACGCATGGTTCCAAGGCATGCCATATGCATATAGTCTAAAGGAATTCCCGATACAAGTCCAAAATTGTTTATTTTTAGAAGAGGAGACACACCCAAATGATGATTTTTATGCAATTGTTCTACAAAATTTGAATCTGTTCGTGGAAGAGAACAACCAACTTCATTATAGCGATAAACGATCTTTCCTTCCAACCTTTCACCTTTGACATTGCATCGTTCGCAAGAAAAATAGCCATTGTGATTTTTTATATACTTCAAAGCTGCTCTCGCAGGAGCATCACATACTAAGGCTTTCAGTTTTACATAATAGGTTTTGTTATTATGTTCAAATCCACTTGTTGAAAGATCATTTAATTCAACAATAAATTTATGAAGGTATTCTTCCATATCATTAGGTTTACTATCTCCTTTGTATAGGGCTATTACAAATGGTTTTGGGTTGAATCCTTTAAAATAAAGTAGCCCTAAAATGGGCCAAAATTGTAGAGAGCTGCTTTTATATATAGGTAGCCCATCTACATTGCAAATGAGTTCTAAAATATTTTTGTCATTTTTTTTAACGATTATATTGTCAAGACCGTTATTAAGTTCTTCGATTAAACGATTTTTTATGCCAAAGTAAAAAAATAATCCATTACTTTTGTTTGCGGAAGCCATATTTCTATATACAAGTTTTCGTGGTGTGCCCAAAAGAGTTTTGCTGCATAGCGGTAAGTTCGGATGATGAGGCTTCAAAATACGTAATAAACTATTTAATTGGTTGTGATTCACCTTTTCATTTAAAGCCCATATTTGAAGATTGTGCAAGAGATTGTCTTCTTCAATGAGAGTCGATGCATATGCACTACATTCATTGATATTTGAGTTCTCAACGTCATTGCTGTGCTCTGAATAGTACACTCCTTCAGCAGGTACAATACTTTCCAAATGGTGTTCATTAGGACTTTCGTCAGTAATACCATCGCCTAACTGCTCAAAGGTACTTAAATTGTGAATATTAGCAAGACCAGGAGGCGATGCGAAAATTTCAGTTTTAGGATGGTCAGTTGAGCAATTCGATTTAACTTTTTTGTTGGGCGTAACATAATTTTCTTTTTCTTTTATTAATAATCTTTTTAAGTGCATACTTTTCCTTGATCTTGACATGTCTAAAACAGTAATAAGTATTCCTAAATATAGTAATTGTGTACCAATTGCTTAATAAAATAAAAGCAGCTTAGTCATTAGGCTAAGGTTAAGGTGTATGGATTTTTGGAATACCGCTTAGTCCAAAAGTTAAAAGGATACCTACACAAGTTATGTACCAAACGTAATATTTTTTGTTTTAACTCTTACTAATCCATTACCATTAGTGACGTGTACCAAAATGGTTTAGTTTAGCAATAAAAATAAAAAACCTGACATTTTTTATGAAGTGTAACATGGTGTATCTTTGGAGGATAGCGGTAGTACAAAATCATCAAAAGATAAAAGTAATCTTAAAATAATTCCCAAGAAATCTTTGAATTTTTGCCTCATGTTTCTTAGGCGATGCTTTAAAATGTGATTTCAAGGGGTACTTTTCCAAAAATTCCCTGGTGGTATGTAAACCTGCCTGCCCGTCTTGCTTAGATAAATTTTAGTATAAAGTATATTGTAACGTTAAAACTTCTGCAAAAGTCATATTAATATTTAATAATATAAAATAATAAAATGTTTATAAAAGTCAATTAGTCATATTTGATACAGTGTTTTGCAAACAAAGTTATAAAAATATTGAAGGCTCTATGCTCTTACAAAAAAAAACACAGAAAAATATTTAACTAACAATAACATGATAATACGTCTTAGAAAGTATTAAAAAATACGGATAAAAATAAAGCGGGACGTTTAGCTCCAAAATAAGGAACAAGCACAGCTCTCATAAAGCAATGAACACCAAGACCAAAAAGATTTTTTGATAAAATTATTTTTAAATACAACCCATTAAAAACGGTGCTAATAAATGTGTTTTTTAACACACTAGACATCCTTACAGACAGTTAAAAAGGAGTTCCAAATTAATAGTACATTATACGCGCTATAAGGTTGTGAAGAAACTCATTATTGACTGATCGTTGTTTATTACCCGAAACACAAAGAGTCAAGAATTATAATTTTAATAGGGTCGGTAATTGTGTTCACAACCGTAGATTTTTTTACTAGTAGTACACTAGCTATATAAAATTTATTTAAAATTATTATTCATAGTTAGTAATAATTCGAATCGCTTTATTTTCTTATGTAAAAAAACAAATCCACAAATAATACGTTAACTACAAATTTATTTGAAACCTCAACAGATTCAACAATCAACACTGCTTTTTATTTAAATTTGCACCACTTGTGTTGCGTTATTTTTAAATAAATAAAATGAGTTATTTAACGTTTAAATTTGTCAGATGTTATTTTCATTATATATTTGGTTTATAAAAATCGAGATAAAAATATACTTCTCAACCTACTCAAAGGGTCGATAACTACATATGTTTCAAAGCTACTAACAAAAAGAAAAGTTTTTTTGAGTTTTATATCTTATTGCTTTATGACGAAGTGTTTTTCCAGCAAAGTCAGATTTATACGCCAAATATTCGGAATTTTGATACTTTTTTTTGTTTTTTTTAATTTATAACTGCGTGTTATATCATTTTAATTATTCCAGCTTTAATAGCTTTAGCAGGAAGATTCTGGCCTTAGAAAAATTTTTGTCTATTAATGATTGCAGTCAAGAACAAAATTGTTAAAACATAAAAAATGTTTCTTTAATGCAGCATTTTTTATAAATTACATATTTTGTAGTTTTAAAGATTTCATATATTTTGTAAAAAATGATTAATTTTTGTTTATCTAATCTCTGTTTGTTAATCGGCAATCTTTAAAGTAGTAAATTCCAAAAATTTTATTTTTAAGTATTTTTAGTGTCCGACCGAAGGTGAATTGGCCGAAACCGAATCCAAAGGCCGAAAGTGAATGGAAGAAAAACTGAGCTTATTAATAATTGCAGAGAACTAGTTTTTCCGACCAACTTAGAAATTGGGTGTGGAGAAAATTTTGTTCTAAATGTTTTTATTGAGATACCAAACACAATGCATCGATAATAATCAATCCTCAGTACTCAAGTTTCGGCTTCGGCCTTCGGCCACTTTTTGGGGCGAAGCCGAATTTCCGCCGAAGCCGAACATTCGGTCAGACACTAATATTTATCTAATTTATTGCGACCTGGTTTGATTTTAGAACACGGGCCTGTGGCCGCATTGTTACGCCACTGCATTCTCAAGTAGTTTTTCACTCGAGTTAACCCATCACATCACTAATAGCGGAAAATCCGATTTGCAGGACTTTGTCGTTTTACTGTCGAAGATATTGACCCCTATTGCCCTATGCAATTATGCATATGGCCGTTTGCACCAACAAATTTAAGATGAGCTTAGCTTAAGCGTAGCTTAAAATCCATGACAACGATTATTGAGACAATGGTTGCCATGGATTTTAAGCCACGCTTAAGCTAAGCACAGCTTAAATTTGTCGGTGCAAACCGCAACAAGTATCACTTTTAAATAGGTTCTCTTTATGGGCTTATACTGACCTTATGCGAATTAAATAAGCATATCGACCGTCTTATATCGAACCAGTGATTACTTAGCTTTAAAACAGAGTAATAAGCGTTTAATAAAATCCATTAATTATGTTATAATTAAAAATTAAAAAAATGTCCACCATATTTACACTTTGCGGTTGGTAGTAACGAATAATCATAACCTTATTCATTGTGTTTACATTTTCCCATTTGCTAGATTTTCGTTCTTGCCTTTAAAGTTAGAAAACTACTTACTATTATTAAAACAAATCCAAAAAAAAAACACACTTTAAATGCAAGTAAACGAAAAATCTAGTAATGGGAAAATGTAAACACAATGAATAAGGTTATGATTATACGGTACTACCAACCGTAAAGTGTAAATATTGTAGACATTTTTTTAATTTTCAGTTCTAACACAATTAATGGATTTTATTTAACGCTTATTGCTCTGTTCTGTTGTAAAGCTAAGTAATGAGTATTTCGTTTCGATATCAGAGGGTCGATATGCTTATTTATTTCGCATAAGGTCAGTATAATATGCCCATAAAGAGGACTTATTTAAAAGTGATACTTAATGCATAGGGCGATAGGGGTCAATAACTTCGACTCTAAAAACAGCCGTCCTGCAATTCGAATTTCGCGATCGACGTAACCACTAATAGCATCACTATTGCGACATGTCTAATTATTTATTCCGTTATGCACACGATTTACGCTATTTGCGTAAAATGCATTTAACCTATGACGCCATTTTATGGAAACGCAAAAAGCAGTTTATTGCACCATGTAATGCAAGTACTGCGTTATTAACATTATGCTTATGGCTTATCCGTAATTGCTGTTACTAGATAAATACAAATTGTAATAAAAAAACAACTTACCTGAAATTGAAGAATCAAAATACTTAGTATGTAAATTTGAAATTGCAGCACACTCTACTATAATAATTATGCACAAATTAAACGTGAAGCTGTCAGCTGATCTTTTCAAACAACGAAAGGAGAGCCAAGGCCAAGCGACGCGAATGCGAAACGAAACTTCTCCTTCTTCGCCACACACGTGCTGCGTGCACGACGGGTCCTTGTCGGGTCGATTCGCCGATCTATAGTTTACCCGTCTAACGATGTTTGTTCAATGTTGCCTATATATTAGCAAATTAAGTTTGGCATAATGTAGGCAAACATTGAGAATGCAGTACTGCTCCAATATTTTTAATTACAATATTGGCAATGTTCCCAAATTTCTGTATTAGGAAAATATTGTTAATAAACCTAATTAATACCAATACTAATACGATCTAAATTCAATATTGTTTATATATTAACGAATATTGATTTGGCAAACGTTGATAATGAATACTGTTCCAATATTTCTAATTACAATAATGGCATCATCGCCAAATTTCCACATTAGAAAAAGATTGGTAATAAATCTAAATAACTTGATATAGATTCAATATTGTCTATATATTAGCGAATAATGATTTGGCTAATGTAGGAAAACCTTGAGAATACAATATTGTTCTAATGTTTCTAGTGACAATATTGTCATCATGGCGAATTTTGTACGTCAGGAGAATATTTATAATAAGTCAGTGTTTTTATACTGATAGTACAATATTACATTAATATTTAATTTTCTATATAGTATTCTCATTATTATGTAAATATTATTACAATATCCGACTCGAGGACTTAGTTAGATGGTTGGTTAATATTATTGCACTAAGATTGGGTCAATATTGGTTTATATTAAACAATATATAAACATTGGGCCATTATTGCGCCAAGTTGTGGCCAAGATTGTGTTCTGCCTGGGTTAGTCAAAAATCTTATGCGATACTCATATTTAAATTTGCTCAGGCCACATTTGTAGGGGGGGTGTCTCAGTAGTGTCCAAGTTCGGATCTCCAACACTTGGTTATCCACGTTTACGACACTGAGCAGAGGTGCTGATCTGCTGTAAGTGACCTGCAACGACACCTGTAATTCTTCTTCAATCTCGTGAAGCAACTCACCTGAATAAAATCGTCTAGTTTGAGTACTAACTCTGTCAAGTCTTGACATTGGTAAGGCAGAGCTTTCAAAGTATACCCGTGCGTTTGTTTAAACACATCGACCATTTCACTAATTAGAATGGTAGAGAAATTAGACTGCAAGATTAAGGAACGTATTTGTCCACCGAGGACTTCCAAAGCGGTCTGAAGCTTCAATTTCACTCTACGTTCTGTGTCAGACACTTCCTCCACCTGTTAGAAACATTACGGCAAAGTACCACGGGACCGAACTTACCTCGACCGTCTCTGGAATGGCCTCGAACAGTTCCACGAGCTTTGTGAAACCATAATCCGAGACCTTGCACTGACGCGCAAAGTGTCTGTGATAGGCCGGTATGAACTTATCGAATAGTATGGAGCAGTACGGCGACTGACACAAAAATTCCTCTATCTGCAATTGCCAAGTAAGTTTAAGTAATGTTGATATGGGCAAACCTCGGATCTGAACTGGTTTGTGCGCTCAACTTGTTCGGCGGTCTGCTCCCGTTTTGGTATAGCGATGGTGTTCACTTCGTCCACAGTTACGGTTCCATCGGGAATTTCCGCCAGTAGATCTTCCAGGTCGCACAGCCCATACTCGGCGGGCTTGAAAGTCTTATGAAAAACCTTTTCGTAAGCTGCCGGGAAGTTAACGAAGGAGACCCTTTGTAGCGACTGCCCTTTCAACACTCGCAGTAAGTCGGATGTGAAACGGCGCACTTGGACTGAATGTGTTAATGTGATCATCTTTTTCTCTCCATATCCTAAAATCTTATCAGAATTTTATAGAAATGCTGCAATGAAAATCGATTGATTTATGTCTAACATTCTTCTGGTTCACATAGTGAATTCTAGTTACTAAGCAAAACGTAGTGTTTATGTAAATGATAATTCAGTTCTCAATTTAATTTAGACGTCGAAAATAGTAAGCTTAGGTTCTACCGTCGCGTACGTTTTTATAGAAACTTGCCATATGTTGTAAACGTCATTTTATATCGTGCTCCGCATCCCATTTGAAATAAGAAATACAGATGTCATCTATCTATTTATCTACTTAGCCTACTCATTGAAAACGTCAATGTAACATATGTATAAAATAAATATAAATACTTGGCTTGAGTTGACAGTCAATTTCCATTACTTCACTCCAACTTGAATTCATTTTTTTAGAATTTCTCTCTCACGTGTATATCAATCCTCAATTATAGGGTTTTGTGGTACTTTAAATATTTCTGTTTCTTATTCATCCATTATGTTTAAATGGTTTACAAAGAACCCTCCTATTGCGTTTGAAAAATGAATGCCCAAACCGTTTGCAAATTACATGTATTTATATTAGAAAACTTTCTTGTACATGTATAGCAATCCGCGACCTTAGGGGTTGAAACTTTTGTAATACACCTGACACTTTTACTTCTTTGATACATTATGTTGGAATAATTTATGAGTAACATTGCAATTGTCCCTGTAAGAGTAAATTTCCTACTCGTTTTAAACTTACGTAATTTTCTAGAAATTCACGATCCTCGATTGAGAGGGTTGTAAAATGTATGATACATTATATATTTTGGTTTTGTTGACGGATTATCTTTGAGTGAACTATAAACCACCAGAAATTTTTCATGCCAACAGATACCTTTGAGGGTATATCTGGTGTCAAAATTAATTATTTACGGAAAATCAATTGAAAGTCACAATGAAACTTTGAAATAGGTCCTCAACCGTGCCAAAGTATAAAGGGTCAACTTCAATAAATTTAAATGCAAATTTCTTATGAATGAAGTAATGTATGTAGGCCATACGATGGTATTGAAGTAGTAATGCAGAAGATCAATAGACCAAAAAATATAAAAATATTCATTCCAAATCTATCCAGATTAACAGTTAATTTAGTAACTTGATAAAAAAAATGTGGAGTTTGTATTGCTACTGTAATCCAAAAATACAGTATCAAAAAAGTAGAAAGAATAAAAGTTATGTAAAAATAGTCTCTGACTGAGTAAGGGGATATTTTATATCTTCCATAGCCTGCTTACTTTTTATCCTGCTTTTTATGATATACAGCATTAATGTTTTTTCAAATCTGTACCTGAAAGCCAAACTGTATTTGCTCAAAAAAATTACATTTTTACAGCAGAGCGATTTGAAAATTTATAAGACATTAAAATTAATACAAAATATTTATTTAATAACTATTAAAAAAGAAATTAAACTCAAAAATAAAATGTGGATGTCCTTAAATTTTCCCTTTTCTAATTTTCAAAAATGTTCATTATTTTTGCCAAAGAAAGTTATTAAAAAGTCAATTAAATGGAGTTAATACCATTTGGCCCTAATACTTCGAATGACAAACTGTATTAAATACTTTTTTGAAAAATGAAAATGGAGTTAATATGGACAATAAAATACTAATGTATTCTGAAATTATTTATTTATTATTTTTAATGATTGCACGGTGTAAAAAAGCGACTTCCAATATTTTTCTTGACTTATTTGCCATTTTTTCGCAGAGTAATAAACACACGTGCACTTCTACACAACATCAACGCACTGAAAACTGTACTATGTCCACACATGTAAGTTTCTTTAACAATATTAACTCCATAATACTATTTTGCTCGGAAAAGGTTATTGATATAATACTGTTTAACTTTGGCCAACTTCAAAAGTAGATTATATAGGACTTAATACTATATTCCATGTGAAAAAGCGAGTCTCGTTTAGTAGGAAGAGAACTTAATACCGATTTGAAAAAAAATGGAGTTAATACAGTTTGGCTCTCAGGTACAGAATAATATTTCTTTGCACCAATAAATTCCTAATTTTTTTCTAATTAGAAAAATACGTAGTTATCAGTATGTTTGATGAGAAAAAATTGAAATAAATAGGGAAAACAGTTTGAAAATGTGGAATATGGACGTTTTTATTAACGAGCGAAGTTTTCGAGAGGTTACGGAGAGGACGTTGCTTGACTGTGGATAATAAATGAATTATTATTAATAAACGTAAGCAAATGTGAAAAGAACCGCGTGAAGTATCAACAACGTGGGGCCCGGCTTGAAGTATTTTGGGGAGAACGTATCATAAAAAAATTATTTATCGACTATCGCGAACTTATTAGAATTATTAATTGAATAAATGGTAAATTTTACCAGAAAATGGGAAAATTGACGTCTTTTTATATATTTAAGACAGTCTTATCGCTGAAGAACGACTGGACCGATTTTAGTGATTTTTGGTCTGTTGGATTAGTCTTCCCTGGGAATAAAACATAGGATATAAAAACATGCGAAAATTTGATCGGAAAATGGGAAAATTGACGTCTTTTGATATATATAAAACAGTAAGACGGAAATGTGTTTGCAATCTTATCAGTCACTGAAGAACGACTGGACCGATTTTAGTGATTTTTGGTTTGTTGGATTAGTCTTCCCTGGGAATAAAACATAGGATATAAAAACATGCGAAAATTTGATCGGAAAATGGGAAAATTGACGTCGTTTTATATATAAAACAGTAAGACCGAAATGTGTTTGCAATCTTATCAGTCACTGAAGAACGACTGGACCGATTTTAGTGATTTTTGGTTTGTTGGATTAGTCTTCCTTGGGAATAGGACATAGGATATCAAAACATGCGAAAATTTGATCGGAAAATGGGAAAATTGACGTCGTTTTATATATAAAACAGTAAGACGGAAATGTGTTTGCAATCTTACCACTCACTGAAGAACGACTGGACCGATTTTAGTGATTTTTGGTTTGTTGGATTAGTCTTCCTTGGGAATAGGACACAGGATATTAAAACATGCGAAAATTTGACCGGAAAATGGGAAAATTGACGTCTTTTTATATATAAAACAGTAAGACCGAAATGTGTTTGCAGTCTTATCAGTCACTGAAGAACGACTGGACCGATTTTAGTGATTTTTGGTTTGTTGGATTAGTCTTCCTTGGGAATAGGACATAGGATATTAAAACATGCGAAAATTTGTTCGGAAAATGGGAAAATTGACGTTGTTTTATATATAAAACAGTAAGACCGAAATGTGTTTGCAGTCTTATTAGTCACTGAAGAACGACTGGACCGATTTTAGTGATTTTTGGTTTGTTGGATTAGTCTTCCCTGGGAATAAAACATAGGATATAAAAACATGCGAAAATTTGATCGGAAAATGGGAAAATTGACGTCGTTTTATATATAAAACAGTAAGACGGAAATGTGTTTGCAATCTTACCACTCACTGAAGAACGACTGGACCGATTTTAGTGATTTTTGGTTTGTTGGGTTAGTCTTCCTTGGGAATAGGACATAGGATATTAAAACATGCGAAAATTTGTTCGGAAAATGGGAAAATTGACGTTGTTTTATATATAAAACAGTAAGACCGAAATGTGTTTGCAGTCTTATCAGTCACTGAAGAACGACTGGACCGATTTTAGTGATTTTTGGTTTGTTGGATTAGTCTTCCCTGGGAATAAAACATAGGATATAAAAACTTGCGAAAATTTGACCGGAAAATGGGAAAATTGACGTCGTTTTATATATAAAACAGTAAGACGGAAATATCTTTGCAATCTTATCAGTCATTGAAGAACGACTGGACCGATTTTAGTGATTTTTGGTTTGTTGGATTAGTCTTCCCTGGGAATAGGACATAGGGTATAAAACATGCGAAAATTTAACCGGAAAATGGGAAAATTTGCGATTATATATAAAACAGGATAATCTAAATGTGTTAATGACGTTCTAACTAAAGAGCGGCTGTACCCATTTTAATGACTTTCGATATGTTGGACTTGTCTTCGCTGGGAATAGCACGTAGGATATTAACGCATACGAATAATGCAGGAAAATAACAAATTATGATGCTTAGTGAACCACGTGAATTTTCACTCAAAATAAAAAAGTTAATATACCTAACTTCACTAATTCTGAACACACAATTTATTAATTCTGAAAGTGGTACTTCGCCCGGTCAGCTAGTAGTACATAAAAGTGGCGAAATTGTAACTGAAACTGAAACTCAGTTCAATCGAACCCATTGCTTGGATCAAGTGCTGACTGAGCAGTTTCTAGGAATAGTAAGAAAGTTAACTTTTCCACTCACAAGTAAAAGGCAAACGCTGAAATCGAGAAATTGTAATAAAAAGAAAAATTTCCCTTTGAAGTAACAACCATTTCCATAAAAATTCTTGTCGGCGAACTTTCCAAATGCATTTTTTTTAACAGATAACATCACTACCCTCACCACCAAGGTTTATCTAGAGATAAAGAGCTTCAACCTATTCCATGAACGTGAAGACCTGTCGTCCCAGGTTACTTTAAATTATTTCTGTTTAAGTATTCAAAGTAAACATTGAATGCCTTTAAGATTCAGTGTGAAACAACGAATTTGTTGCTTTGATTAATTATTGGTCTTAAAGAATCCAATCAATTTTAAATTGGAATTAGTCCAGATTCAAGTTTCGTTTTTCTTCAAGAATTGTTCAATAAATCAGTCAGCCAAACCCAAGGTTTCATTCATTGCTGAGTTTGCTTCATAAAAGTGAGAGTAAAAAATTGGTTTAGGGTGTGGCTATGTATACAATATACATTTATATGGCCATTTGGTGTCATTTTGGCTGGGGAGGTGGAAAAGGGTTGGAAAATGTTGTAGTAAGTTTCATAGAAGCAAAGAAAAAGCTCTACAGTAAGTAAAACCACCAAAGAAAGGTAAAAAAATGAGTAATCAATAAGCTAGCCGACGGCAAACAATAGTTCATTTTATTTTGGTACACCATTTTAAATCAATGGACATGGAGCCATCGAGTGAGCAAGCGCGCGATAGGACGATTGGGATAAAGCAATATTAGATTTATCCGGGTGAAAATAATTCTAACTGGAATTGGTTACTAAGTAAAATTAACGCCCAAAAATATTGTTGTCACTTGCACTTTTCTTCAAGTTTTGTTAGTCAATGAGGTTTTCTCACCTGCACACAGTGGGAGATCGCTTCAAATAAGTCGGTTAACTTTGTAAAACCATAATCTGCCAACTTGCACTGACGCCCAAAGTGATGATGGTACGTTGGCACGAATCGCGTGATGAGCAGTTGACATTTTTCAACGGTTTTCAATAAATCACTGATTTGACGACACAGCACGGAGACGTTTTCAATAAACGGCGCCGGAACCGTTTTGGCCAAAGGATCTGCAAATTAAAAGTTACGTTGCGTGCCAAAATCATCCCCTATTCGCACCTTCTTGTTGTTCCTTTGGCTTTGCATCTTTGGTGCTATTTCGCAGCTTAACATACTTAACGTTCTTATTATTATTACTGGTAATAATTTCAATATTAGAAACGCAAGTAAGTAAGTGCTCGAGTGGGATACCGTTGTCATCTTCTGGTAGCGCTTTCTTAAACTGCATTGCGTAGCATACTGGAAAACTGAATTTTACATTAAACACCACCGTTCGGCACAATATGCGAACCTTAGTAGTGGCATGCACCCCGTGTGCGAGGAGAGTACTTCTAGCACCTCTTTTTGAAATTTTTTTAATGAAATCGTGACGTTGGGCAATGAAACACCTTCCCAGCCTTTAACTTCCAAACCGTTTGGGCAATGTACGGTACAATAGTATTGGGGTGACTAAAAGCGTAACGGATTGTTAACACATTAACCAGGAAATTGGCTTACGCTATCGTATTGTAGAGGACCATATCCGCTGGCTTCTTGCGTCAATTTAATTACGCGACCATTCGGCCCATCAATAATTTTGCATACGGTTTTCAGCCTGTTCACCTCCGACACCGAAACACTGGTGTGATAACGCGAACGTACCAGTTCGAAAAACTTAAATAGAGGCATTTGATTCCCGGGAACATTCTAAAATTGGTTCTTAAAGAGGGTAAATCAAACCTTTGATACCCACCTGAAGTAAACTAATTACAATGAAACGCACTTCATTGTAATCTGGAATTGGATGCAAGTGCGATACTACGATACGTTTATCACCAATCCATTGATGATTTAAGTGCGTTATTGCCAATTGTGCTTCGTGCTGCGTTGAAACTTTTACATTCGCAGTTAGTGAACCATCCGGTTGGACGTTTACCGATATATTTAGGACCTTCACGAATTGTTTAAACAAGTTCAGTAAAATGGCCCATACGTTCTTATACTCGATAGCAGGATCCAAATTGCTGACAACCAGCTCGATGGACATTTTCGAATCATTTTTGCTGACCTGGTCAGCCTTGGTACCAAAACCGTGAAGATTCACCTGTTCGTATCCATTTAGGGAGTTAAAGTTGTTCAAAAATCTCCACGATTCGGAAACCTTGGAACGTAAGTTGTGACTTACATTGTTATTGAAGACATCGTCTGCAAAAAACCATGAATCCAAGCCGAAATAAGCGAGTGCACTTACAATTTTGGTCCCTAAACGATAGCACCTCACCGACGATTAAGGGGTTCATCGCGAGTACCCTAAAATTTCAATGCTCAACCTCTCCCATTTATTTTTGTCGAAAACTTACAAACCACGCTGTTGCACGTCTAGGCGATCGCAATACTGAAGACATGCGAAAGTATAAAGTTATCTTGTACCTGATAGTAGAGTTCAGGTAAAGGTTATCTGCGCAACAGAAAATGTTTCTGAACGGATTTCTAATTATTCTATCACGTGCCAATAATATTTCGGCTATTAATGTGCATTTCGCATTTTACCGATAACCATTGCTTGAGGATTTCAGTATTCTTTAAAAAAAGGTTTAAGAAACCTACTTGATCGTCAGGGATATTTTGTAGTTTCTCTGCAGTTGCATCTTCTTCTTTCGATTTAGAAAAAAAAAGGTGTAGCCTAGGAGCTCGCATGGTCTCCATTGGCCTTTATTTGCTTTTCATGGATATAACATGTAGAAGAAGACATTTTGCAGAGGTTTTTACAATATTAGAGGATCACATATTAAATGTAATATTCTAAGAGCCTCGGGTCCATGAATTCTTTTACCTGGAAAAGATTCGATTGCTGCCCGCAAAGCGAAAGCCTGACCGTTGGAAGCAAAGGGCGTCGGGGGACGATTAAACGTCTACATTTTCCAAATAAAAAAACTGTAGATGTGCACGGCTGAAAATTTACATAAATATCCAACATCATGAGAAGAAGAATCGAATATGGAGTCAGGGCCGGATTAATGCCCTGAGAGGCCCTAAGTAGTGAGAATTTTGAAGCCCCTTTTTGTTTCTTTGCGTTGCATCGACCAAAGATAATCTTTGCATCGACTAATTAAAATTGATAAAATACATACATCCAGAAGATTGGTAAAATTATACATACATTCAGGGTTGTGATTTAATAACAGAGAAATTCAATAAAAATGAAATGGAGGCGTGTTCGTAAATATGCTCGGACCGGTCGATTTTGCTTTTGGATTGTACATATTTTGTAAGTATACAGGGTGCCCCAAAAAAGCACCCAGAAAAAATATTGTTCCTTAAATAGAAATACCCCTATATTACTGCCGGATCGTGATCCCAACGTGATCGGACCGATAGTGTAAATTGGCCTTATAGCTGAGTGCGGAGCACCCCAGGGCCAATGGTCTCGACAACCTCGCCTTTTTGGTTTCTATGCCTCCTTTTTCTCTGGTGACGATTTAATTGCTTTAGTGTCCCCGCGACTGTTTATAAAAAGTTTAATTTTTGAAAAAATCGTAAGTGCAAGACCCGTATTTAGGGAAAGTAATGTTACCGGTTAGGGTTGGAGGCTATGTTGGATGTTGATTGTTTAAACCAGAGTATTACATATTTTTTTAATAAATTATTTATTTAAGATTTTGTACAAAAAATTAAGATTAATTCAGTTTCCTTTTCCTTTGTCGCATTTTCTCATTATTATTAGGGTGGTGCCCTAAGCACGTGCTTAGTCTGCTTATGCATTAATCCGGCCCTGATAGAGAGTTTTAAGAAATTCGATTCACTTTGAAACGAGTGAAATGACGGTTTACTATTTGACAAGAACAACCAGGGTTAGGGGAAGCACATTTTCATAGGGGATTGAGATAGTAGTTTGGCTTGTAATTCGGAGCCTACGCCATCTCAAATTTAGTTTTCAATTTTAATTTTTTACTTCAAAACGACTCTAAGCTGACATTTTAATTACTAAAAGTGTCCAAATACCTCGTGGAATGTTTTTAACACCTTCTTCGGGTTTTTGTACAATTTTTTAATTCTTATTCATGTTCATGTACATTTGTTGTGTTTTAATTTTCTTAATTATTAAAAATACCCCGAAACATTTTAATACAGTTAATACAATTTTTTAATGATGATTTTTTTAGAATTACTACCAACTCCAAATTCTGATTTTTAAAATGATTTCATTTTTGGATTTTTTAATTTCTTAAACAACGTCTTAGTGTCTCAAAATATACAGACATTCTAATTTTTCATTTTTTAAATGTTTGTATTATCTATTCTTTGTTAATTTATGAGAGAATATTTTTTTAATTTTTTTTTCTATTTTCTAGTATTTGGAATCATTATGAAGACTGTTTAATTTTTTATAAAAATGTCCGGATTTTACGGAAATGTTTAAAATTTACAAATTATTTTGTATGCACTTGCTGAACATTTTTGGAAACTACATCAAGATACAGATCAAGGGTTGTTTGTTGGTTTCCAAAGTTTTAAAGATTTGCGCTATGTAATGTAGGGATTAACCTGAACATCCAAAATGCATTCTATTTAGTCATTCAGACAAAAAAAAATTTTAGCTTTGGCCCACAATTCTTAGACCGAACGTTCAGGCCTTAAGTTTTAAGGATGAAGCTTCAAGGTTTTAGTGTTAAGGGGGTGTGAGGGGCCCGTTGCTTTTAATTCTGGGTTCGGTATGAAAGAATAACTTAATGAAAAATTAAAACAGCGTAGCATTTTTTAAAGGAGACCGGGGTTAGTGTGGCCACGGGAAAATTGTGGACATGATGAATAATTTCTTGAAAGACGTTCAAATTTTGGTGCCAGCCAACTGGTTCATTCGGCAATTTACACCATTGGCTGAAGATTGCCAGCAATGCGGCGTCCTATGAGAGATATAGTGAATGTGGAGTGTCAAAAAGTGTGTGCAGATTTTGTTTCGAGTTCCATAAGTTTACGTTCTTCTGTGAAGGTAAGAAACGACATTCAATCCTACCCAGGATCCTACCAAATCGGAAATTAAATACTCATGCGGCTCTCGAATGACCGTTGATAATTAATTCATCGTAATACATGATCATTTTTGACTATAAATTAATTACTGAATAGTGTACCCCTAAGGTCACTGTGGACACTACAGTGTGGGTCCACACTTGCCCCATGTGCTTTATAACATAAGATTAGCATAGCATTAGGAAGCACTAGTTATTTTGACAGCAGATTTATGGAGATTCGGAAAATTCTAAAATTTAAAATAGCGGAAGCATATGATAATTATGTCAAATCTATTGAGAAGTCTGTGAGTAGTGATGTCACAAACTTTTATAAGTATTATAAACAGCAAAGGTCAAAATATCAACTGTTGGATGAAATGAATTATGATAATGCCAAATTTAAGGGGTCAGAAATTCCTGATACCTTTGCTAAATTTTTTAAATCGGTACATCCAACTGAGAACTCGAGTTATGATCTGGATAAGTTGAATGATGATAGTAGTGAGGAATCCAACTTACACTCAGATAAGTTTTGCCTTAAAGTTGTTGATAACAGTGTCACTTCCAGAGCAATAGACCAACTTAAAAATAAAATGAGTAGTGGATCCGATGGAATTCCGACATTTTTTCTTAAACAATTAAAAGATGTTAATTGTGATAAACTGACATATATTATTAATTTATCAATTGAAAGTGGTACCTTTCCAACTCTTTGGAAAATGACAAAGATTACTCCAGTTCACAAATCAGGTCCCGAAAATGTAATAACAAACTATAGACCCGTATCAATTTTGAACAGCTCTGCGAAAGTATTTGAAAATGTTATTTATAAGTCGCTGATGGACGGAGTGAGGTGTTTAATAACTCCCTCTCAGCATGGATTTTATCCCGGCCGATCCACCAAGTCTAACCTACTACTGTTTTCTAATTATGTGCATAGAAATTTGGACGCAAGGGGTAGAATTGATGTTGTGTATATCGATTTTTCAAAGGCCTTTGACGTTGTCCATCATGATGTGTTACTCCAAAAACTCAAAAATATGGGTGCGTCTTTATCGTTGCTAAAACTAGTTCGCAGCCACTTAATAGCCAGGAAATGCTATGTCCGTTTTCTAAAGTATGATTCTTTTAGTTTTTCTACTACGGGCTACGGGGTTCCGCGAGGTTCGAAGCTTGGGCCCCTATTTTTTATTATTTTTATTAATGATTTGCCAAAAATTTTTACCTCCTCTTGTCCCTTGTATGCTGATGATTTGAAACTTTACAAAGAAATAAACTCAGCTCTTGATGCATTGGCTTTGCAGAAAGATTTAGATGCGCTCAATAACTGGTGTATTAATAATAAATTGTGTTATGTCTATTTCTCGGAAAAAGTCGAAGTGCTCTACTGAATACAGAATTAATAATGAACGTCTTGAATCAGTTTGCACAGTGAGAGACCTCGGGGTAGTTTTTAATAATAACTTTACATTTGTAAATCATATTGATTATTTAGTAAGTAAGTCTTTCAAAATGATTGGGTTCATAAAAAGAAACACTAAACATTTTAGAAATACAAAGGGAATCATTATGTTATATTGTGCTTTTGTAAGATCAAACTAGAATATTGTTCTATTATATGGGCTCCACATACAGTTAAACACATTAAAAGGATAGAAAAGGTGCAAAACTTTTTTCTTAGATATTTATATTTTAAAAAATTGTATAAGGTTTGCCCCAGAGATCTTCCTTCTGTGATACTTCGGGGTGAAGCTAGTATATGTAGTTTAAAAGTGCGAAGAGACATATCCAGCGTTATGATTTTGTATAAGATTATTCGTGGCTTAATTGATTCTTCTGAACTACTATGCGAAATTAAATTTAATGTTCCAAGAACAGCTAATGTCAGAAATTACAACACGTTTTATAATCCCTGGGCTAAATCTAATTCGTATAAGAACTCGCCACTTTTGTATTCCATGAAATTATATAATTTAATTTCGAATAATGATACTAATTTAGATATCTTTCACAACAGACGCAATTTATTTAAAAGAAACTTATTTGAGTTATTATAGATCTAAGATTTATATTCTCAAACCTATACATTAGAAAATTCAGTTATCTGGACCGTTTTGGGCTCTGCCTGTGGTCTAATAGTATTATGTACCTATTAATAATAATTTTTGTTAAATATTACGACTAATAAATGAATTGAATTGAATTAAATTGAATTACCTATTCTCATGATACTTTTCACATTTCTTTTAGAGGTGGATTAAGTTAGCACCCCTAAATCGGCATCCCAATCACATTGTCAAAATATTGTGCTAATGTGTGCGATAATCCTCAAATTTTGTGCACTTCCCGTTTACGAGAAAATCAAAATAATAATAATTCTGGAACATCATCATTCTCGTATCCACGATTGCGCTTTAATCGTGTGAATCGGACTGTACGAAAAATGGGTAGTAATCAGTTATGACAATTAATAATTATCTACTAATTATCATAATAATATAATCAGAACGTGACCAATGCAAATAGATTGCTGAACAGGTAATTAGCAACTCAAGAAATAGATTAATTACCGAAAATTTTCAATAAATTCTATTATAACAGAGGAGGTAAAGAAAGATATTTATTTATTTATTTAGCGGCAGAGCAAAGCGATGGAAGCTTTATAGGGGAGTCGATGGTGTCCGTCTGTCCGTGAAAACGATAATTGTCAAACGCTTGGACCGATGGACGGAACAGTAGATGCGTGGGATATCAATTTATACCAATTTTTTGGGGAAAAGGGAACCGGTAAGACATTGAAGCACCAAATTAATGAATAACACCATACTTGAAACTTTATTTTTTGTAAACTCGATACAAACACTATTGTCGGAGATCACTTTGTTCTCGTGGTTGCAATCTAAGCCGAATTCCACCCCTGGCCCTTAGTGTTACCCTATACCGTAGTTGCAGTTGATAATCGGGAGGCAGTGTAATTTTAAAGTGACGTAAAACCATTGCGATTATAGCTTTCATTTCCATTAACGCGAATTTATTGGCTGAAACAAAGCAGGCGAATTAAAAACCTTCATTAGGTATTTCATTTATCATTGGAAAGAATCCTAAAAAGTTCTTCTGGAACATTCCTGAGAAGAAACTGGGGACGCTTACCTACACAATTTCTAGGTCCTGCGCTGAACGGAATAAAGGCATTCTGATTTAGACCTTTTTGATTGCCTGGTGCGAATCGTTCTGGATCAAACTTGTTTGGATTTTGGTAGTAGTCCTCCAATCGCTGCATGCCAATTAGGGATATAAGTACATTTAAGCCTTTCGGTAAGGTGTACTTTCCTGTAACAGCCCCAACGTGAACAGCGCGAGTATACGAAGACATCCAAGCTTACCTAGCTGGACGTCTTCCACCAACTTCTTAGAAATAACTGGGACGCTCGGGTATAATCTTAACGTTTCCTTTATACATTGTTCCAAGTACACCATTTTATTCAGACTTTCCCCGTTAATTCCTCCGTAATCGCGAAACACCGCGTCCAATTCATCCACGACATTCTGCTGGATTTCGGGATGTTTCGCCAAATTGTACAGCGTGAATGATGTGGCCGATCCAACGGAGTCTTGGCCCTAAAAAATCGACCATGAGACCCTCTGCAGGTTTGCCACAGCTAGTGCGTTACGGCAAGCATAAACGTGCATATTTCGTCGACAATGTTCTTATCATCAAAGTGCGGATTTGTTTCTGAAACTTTAATTAACGAATCCAAAAGGCACCATTCACCTTTGCCGACGTTCGCGCGACGTTCGTCTAAAATCTGTACCGATTTTTACGGGCGCTTTTCGTTCAGTCTTACCTTCTTCGCAAACTCCTTCAGTGTCAATCTCTGTGTCGATTCGTATTTGGAAATTGACGAAAATTTGTAAATATTGTCGAGTATGTACCAGGGCCGTGTTAATCTTTGCAGCACGACGAGATGACCTCTAAATAACACGATCTCTAAACAGGTCCTATTACGAGAGGTGACCGACTTACTTGTTAAACGGGGAAATGGCTTGAGTGTCGTGATCATGAACGGGTATTCCCATTAACGCACCTGAAAATTAATATAACTAGCGAGAAATGCGTATTGAGGTTGTTTCATTTACGATGCAGGATCTTCAGCACGACGACGTTAATGAATGTGGACATTTTGACCTCCGACTTGCCCCGGAGCTCCTGTACAAGGATTTCGGAGGACTCGGCGAATGTGTTGATGAATAAATTTAATGTATTCAAGTGGAAGAAGGGTTGTATAAGTTTTCGGTGCGTTCTCCATTTCGTCCCTAAAATAAAATCATGTTTTAGACCGTCTTCTGACAAGGTGGCCTAACCAAACTATCTATCTGGACCGTACTCGCCGCTCGGTTACCCAAACCTCTCCACTATCAATATGCGAATCCCTTGATCTCATGCGAAAATAACCCCCCTTCTAAATACCCAGAAATTTTTTAACGCCCATGCCATGGTGGAATAGTCATGGCAGGGGCATTTTACTAATTTTCATTGGTTGAACTGGCGTCAGCTTAATTTTTATTAGGCATTATTTGATATGATGAATTGTAAAAGTAACATCACATTACCGATTTCCAGCGTGTAATTCAAAACCGTAACCAGATAACGAGGCGACAAATACAATTTAGAACAGATACCCCATTGATAAACGCGGGAAGCTTACGAAATCTCACTGTTATTCCAATCGACAAAATAAAAATCTCGAACTTAACATGAGTAATATTTGTTTGGGAGGATGTTTTTGAAACCTTAACTTCGTACGCGCATAAACATTACCCTCTGTCTAAATTCAGTTTTTTCTCGTTCCCGTGGGAATTTCGGGAAGTGCTTTCAGTTTCTTCAAAGAAATTCTCATTTTAAATGTCAAGTTTCTATCTTTCGCAAACTGGAAAACGTAAAATTCCATTTTTTCATGTTCCCGTAAGAACTTCGTGCGCCCCTACACTTCCCAAAGAACCTACATGCCAAATTTCAACTTTCCACGCCCAAGTAGTTTGGGCTTTGCAGCCCTTCAGAAGATTATTGAGTGGTTTCAATCCCATGATCCTTTCGCTGTTGCCCATCAGCACAGGAGTCACCGAAGATGACTTTGAAATGGGAAATTCTTCAATGCTCACCCTTGTTAATAAAACCTTTGACAAAGTCAAGCTTGTCCGCAAAAATAGAGTAATAACTACACAAGGATTCAAGTCTAAGGGTGAGAATGCACCAGTGAACCCTGAAACCATATTCCTCCGGATACTACTCCTCAAGAAATCTGATGAACAGCTCAAAGAATTCTTTCATTATTGGCTGGTACCAGAACTAAAATAGGGATTTATGTGTACTGTTTTTCCCAATGTCTACTTTTAAAAGACAAAATTTCTTCTGAAGGCCTCCTAATTTTATGCAACCAAAATAACTTCTTAAAACAAATAAATATCTGGCTGTCATATTAATTAATTTGAATACTGTTGTTTTGGCTTCCGTTGTTTTAATTTTCTTTCGTGTGCGATGTATTCAACTGAAAAAATGTTGATATTCTCAATTGGTATAGTGCCGGCAACAGTTTAAGGAGTATAAGAGATTTATTTTCTGTAAAGCCAAAGCAACAATATTCAATTTAATTAATATGACTTAAGAAGTTATTTTGGTTGCATAAAATTAGGCGCCCTTCAGAAGAGATTTTGTTTTTTAAAAGTAGACATAGGGAAAAAGAATACAGGTAAACCTCTATGTCTACTTCTTAATAAATATCACTGTACTATAGAAAATGTACAGTGTCAAAGTTTAGAGGGCCGATTTTCCAATAAATTATGTAGATAGTGGAATTTCAGGAACACTTAGTGCAATTGAAGTCTCTGCGTCTTTTAATTTTTGTAGAGTATTGTTTTCATAATGGCTTCCGGATGTCTGGAAACGAGATGTCGCTGTAATTACAGCTAAAGCCTCATGTACTTTAAACCACGGAATAAGCGTGAGGTTATTCGGTAGTTTGAGAAATGCAGAATTGGCATATTTGAGAAGTACGTAGGATTTCATTTATTACCCAAACTCTTTTTCTATTATTACGGATGTCGGATTTTGTTAATAAGAATCCATTTTGTAGGCGTCATTAATCGTAAGAAATTAAGGGTCATTCCGGGATAAAAAATATAGTTCCATTTAAAATAACAAAGGTGGTATCTAGGGTGTTATCCATAGTTTGTGAACCACTGGATGAAAAAAATTCTTTCGTGCACATTAAAATAGTCTTGTAAAATAAAAATTGTTTGCTAATTTAACCGACCTCGTAGCTCTTATGGTTCTCGAAAAAGTGAACACCCTGCATAGTAAACTATAAAAACGCAGCGATTCGGAGTCTGAAAAATTCGATTGTGGGAATTCTGAGACATCCGACGGCTATCCAAACCTATATTTTATTCGAGCTAGGGTAATCCAAGAAATATCCATTTCCCAGAAGAAACCAATTCAATTTTCAATTTATTACTGTGCAAATTAAATTGCTTCGTTTGGATCCGTTTAACTTCATTGATGAGCCTCTAATAATTTATATATAACAATTAGAAAAGTTTGACAAAAAGTTACGGGTAAAAAATTAATCCGATAAGAGTAGGTAGTGACGTTGTTGATTGAGATTTGATTTATTTATCAATTTGTTTGTGTTGTTTTTTCATTCGGAGTGTTACCAGATACTAAAAATGATTTCATATACAGTTACTTAAAAAAACTCACTTAAAAAATCAAAATTTTACTTGACGAAGGAAGGTTCAATTTCTTTATTTGCAAAAAAACCCTCATGCACCCCAAAACAGTACTTTCTGTAAGTACCTATAGGTAAAAAATTATCAAATTATGAAATCTTCCCAATGAATTAGTGGTTTGGAATTCAATTCATACTTCAGAGGGTTAGAAGGAGTAAGAGTCTACGTACCGCTGGTAGTGAGCAATCCATGTCCCAAAAACGTATCCATAAACGTATAAATAAAGTTCTTCTGAGTCTCTTTCGTGTTGAGCAAAATTTTGCGAGCGTGCTCAGGATCGATAATGACAACGATCGGTATCACAGAAATCCACGCTCCAGTTAGTAGCCCGTAATAACGATTGGAATTGATTAAGAAGTCGAGGAACTCTAACAATTTTCGAATAAGACCAATTAGAGGCGATATTAGTGTTTTTACTTACCGGTGCAATTTTTGACCATTAAAACGTTACCAAAAACCGGAACCGCCGGAGGTCTCGGTAGGCTAAGAACCAAACGTACGGCCCGGAGCCAGTTCTCCAATTTAAATAGCCTGATCAGCAGATATGCCAAAATCAACGCGATTATGATTACGGACGCCCAAGTCGAGAAAACTGTATTCTTCATCGTTGCGATATCGTATGCGTATTGCACGGTGATTATAGAATTATTATTGCGTATTTTAATTTAATTTCTATGATTGGCTTTTATGGTTACTGATTTGACGCCGTTCGCCTTGATCTTATTGCTTACAATTGTCGCACACCGCTTCATCTAACAACCATATTTATATTTCCAGTTTGTATATAGGTAGGCACCTAATTGCGTAATTTAATTACGATTTTGTTTAAAATTTCCAAGTCCTAATAACTAAAAGATACCTACTCATACGTATACGTATAGGAAAATGAAAATAATCCGTTGGTGTAGTGTCCAAGTGAATGGAATTAATGTCTAAAGCATATCATAATTTTGAGCTCATTTTGTGTTAATTTGTGCTGTCCGAATTACGTTAATGAGTAATATAAATTCACACAAAATGAAAATCTGCAGGAATATCCTGAAACGATTTCAAAATGTGTTATGGTTAGGTATATAGTCATTATAAAAAAGTCGATGACGTCATCTGTCAGATGTCAAAATAACCAAATAAATTCAATCAAAATGCAAATATAATCTAAATTGACATGTTCGAGCGTTTTTAATGAAACCTGAAAACTGGGTGGATTTCACCCCTTTTTCCGCACTGTATATGGAAGTAATCAGGGTTTGGTGTATTTGGACTATTGTAACATGCAGTAAAACAAATGTTCTTATTACATTTTTGTAAAAAAGTTGTGAAAATTTAACGAGATGCTTAAATTGGTTTTATTTCCACTGTTTAAAGGCGTCTGTGTATCGCAATACAAAGATTTACATTCGTGAGTGCTCAATAGGGGCGTAATTATAACATTTGGCGACCGTGACAGGACTTTTGTCCGTAAGTTTTGTTCTGGGAACACTTTTGTGGAAAATGGAGCAACTGATCGCTGAAGATTTGTTAGTGGGAGTGTATATTCGCGAACTTTTAACGCTAATTTTGCAGAATGCCAAACGGGGAATTAACCGCGATGCTTTGGGTTTTACTAAATAAAATATTTCTTCGCCGTTAGATAGGAAGATTCCGCCCAATCACTTGGCTTCCATGTACAACTAGAGAAGAGCGTGGGGTTTTTCAACTCGAGTTCAAAGTTTGTCAATTGAACGAGAGTTAAAAAACATTTTCTTCTCAAGTCACATAGTTACACATAATTTTTTTCTGAAACTACAATCAAAAATTAAAAACTATTGCATGCAATAATGAAATTTGACAAATAGCAATCTAGATACCGGGTATATGTTCCAATTTTACATGCCATTATAAAGATTAACGCAGCAATTGTTTTTTTTACTTTCCTCACTAGGCAGGAAAATTACATTTTCTTCACCCTTTCTAGAGACGAAAGTAGTTGTTTCTAAAGTAGTTTCAGAAAATAATTATTTTACAACTAGTTTTGAAAGTGATCGTTAATCAAACTGCAAATTCATGAAAAAAAAACACTTTCAACACGCACTAACTGTACCCCACATTTTGTGCAAAGTGATTCTTAATAACCCATAATTGACTTGACATTCGCGATTTACCGTCACTCAAGAATTGATACTATTGTTCACAGATAGGACTAAACGCCATGGAAACCCATAGTAAAAATCGTAAAAAAAATGAAGGTTGCATGACGATTTTGGGTAAAATAAATTATTTTTTAAAGCAATAAATCCATTATTAGCAATAAAACATATTGCAAACATATTATCACGCGTTCAACAAACGTCACTACGTTAATTAATGGCATAATTACGGCTATTTAGGAATTACTGCACAATAAATCATTTAATTACACTAAAGTGTATAATTTTGAATAGATCAGGAATACTTACGGAGAACTTTGTAACATTTAATGCTAGGCAGCGCTCTTTGACCACAGAAGCGTCATATTAAGCAAATTAAGTATTTTTTTCCTATTGGCAAGGTACGCAGTTTATCAGTGAAGGTATAATGTGCTAAAACGTTGGTTGAAACCTGGATTACCAGGAGAAACACATGAACTGTTGTGTTCCAAGTTTGAGCTCACTTGGGAAAAAAAAGGGAACACCGGGCGGCCATACAAATAACCAAATAGAATCAGCAAGTAAAAATGTGACTCAAATACAGTTTAACTATTGCATGACACAATACCTCAAATTGATCAACGCATAGAGGCGCCAAAGTGATGACTGAGTCCTCTAAAGAAATGAGAAACCTCGCGCTAAGCTGACAAGTAATATAGTATATTATTAGGAGAGAATTTAATGATAGCTATTAGTTTATATTATGCTATTATTCACGAAGATGAAGTCATAAACTCTCATTCAATATGTATAACGAAGACGGGAATAAAGACTTCAATTTATTTATGTATTCACAAGGAAGTTTATTATCAGTGTGTTGTTGTTCTGTATGCTTCGACTTAACAGTTCTCTGGAAGGAATACCGCATGCAACTTGATTCTGGGCTGCATATGTTGCTTGCTCATCTTCTGCGGAATATAGCCCTTGTGTCTTAGCAATATACAAGAAAGGGGTGCTCTTATTAACATTTCCTCTATTTATAATATGATTTGATTGGCCGATAATGGACTATAACCGAGCATTCTCACATGTACTTTTCGTGTTCAATTAATTGAAGTCGATGTTGGAGTAGCACTTTGCTGTGTCCGTGTTCTTTTTTGTACATGCAATTTACCATTTTACGAGACGAGTTGTTTTGCCTAAATTTATCGTAGGTTTGTTTAATGGTTTTCTGTACTGAATTCACGTCCCAACCAGAGCTGGGCAGAATACTTTCAAAAAGTATTTGAATACTAAATACTTTTACGTCCAGCACAAGCGAATACTAGATACAGATACATTGAAAAGTATTCAAATACTTAAGTATTCAAATACTTTAGAATGTATTCGAATACTTTCAAAAGTATTCTAATACTATCAAAGGTATTCGAATACTATAAAAAGTATTCGAATACTTTCAAAAGTATTCGAATACAGTAAAAAGTATTCAAATACAGTAAAAAGTATTCAAATACTTGTCACTCAAATACATTAAAAATTTAAAATAGTATACTAGATAAAAGGCTTAATACTACTTAAAAAATCAAGTTATACTTTGTATGGGGTTAGCTTTTTTTATATTTCTATTGTTATATACAAATTTAAGGGGAGTAAAACCGTATTATTATTATTATATTATTATATAGGAGGTACCTAAAATTTTCTTATAGAATGTGACCTGTAGAATCCATAATTTCAAACAGTTCCAAGATTGGGCTACTAGTTCAAAAGTTACAGCCCTTTGAATTTTCTTTCGAAATTGGTTTCTAGTCTATAACTTTTGATTGAGAAGTCTGATCGAAAAAGTACGAATTGTTTTGGATTCTACGCACCAAAATTAATAAGAAAAAGTGTTTTCCCGAGAAATTTTGGTGCAGTCGATTTTTGGTAAAAAAGGAAGGTTATACACTGCCTTTTTTTTGGCCCCGAAAAAAAAATTGTCTCAGATCGACCGGAAAAAAAATTTTCTTATAGAATGTGGCCTGTAGAATCCATAATTTCAAACAGTTCCAAGATGGGGCTACTAGTTCAAAAGTTACAGCCCTTTGAATTTTCTTTCGAAATTGGTTTCTGGTCTATAACTTTTGATTGAGAAGGCTGATCGAAAAAGTACGAATTGTTTTGGATTCTACGCACCAAAAAAGGAATATCATGGCAGTTGACCATGAAGTGACGGATTTAAACGCTGCTGCAATTTGTGCAGTTTGCAACAAAAATGCTATAAAGAAAAGAGTGAGGTGTGTGTCTTGTGAAAGCTACTACCATGAGAGCTGCGCCAAAACCAAACTTAAAACAATTACTGTGATAGATAGCGAGAATGTCATCTGTTGCGATGTAAGTACAAATAATGACTCTATTTGTATACCAAATAGTAAAGTAAGTGAAGTGGAGTATCTGAAAGCTATTATCAGGGACAAAAATCAAATAATTAACATCTTAAACGACAAAATCAAGCTGTTAGAAGAAAAATGTGAAATTTCGACCTTGATGACCCCTATCCGTGATTCCCATCGAGGTCAAGCAGTGATATCAAACAACAATTCGCAAATAAAACCCACGATTATAAATATGAAAGTTGTTTCTACTTCGAGAACAGAAGCACCATCGAAATCTATACAAAAAACTAGTGTCCGTGGGAACCCGACTGGAAATCAACCCCAGTCGCCCAAGATACCAGTACAAAAAGCAGGGAATGAGCAGCACGCCACCCCTATACTGACCCCAAAACCAATCGGTTCTGAAGCTTTCGGGAGATGAAAACTCGTGGAGCACTGTTGTAAAACGAAAACCGAAACAGGACAACAACTTCATCGTTGGCAGTAAAGAATGTGCGGTTGGAGAAAGTCACGATTTAAAGGCTATACCCAAAAAAGCTTATCTCTTTGTCAGTAGACTACACAAGGAAACAACTTGTGAAAACGTATCCAATTTTTTAAAGAAACACTTTCCAGAAGTCGTCTGTGAAGATATAAAAACTAACAATGAGTCAAACCATGCTTCTTTTAAAGTTACAATCGACTTTAAAAATTTAGTAACGGCGATGGATGGTAATTTCTGGCCCAATGGAATTCTTGTGAAGCGGTTTTTTCATCGGCGCCCCACACTTCCTACTGTCCAGTGACCAACCAAAACCTGGTAGTTGGAAAGAGCTCAGAGGAGTCCTCAACCACCACGAACCCAATAACATCATCTATAATTCAATCAACATCTCCCCCAACAACTGAAAGCTCAGCTAATGAAAATGGAGTCGAAATCCACATTGACGCAATGTATAAACCCGATGTTCTACAACTCAACTGCAGAGCGCTCTCGGAAAACAAAATAAACTACATCATGAGTGAATTTGTTGACAATGATCAATACTGTAAGACTATGAACTTTATTTGTATTTGTGAGACATGGTTCCAACAATCATGCACTGACGAGCTGCCTACATATTTTAATAACTTTGTTTTAGGAACTCATTTTTCCAGATCATCTCATAAAGGAGGAGGTGTTGGAATTTGGCATAGAGCGGGTCTTCAAGTGAAGCCAATAGATCTGAGCGCTTTTTGCTTAGAAAAGCATATTGAAATTTGCTGCCTGTGCTGGCATCCATCACCTCGAGATAAAGTTCTGCTAATATCTTTATATAGATCTCCCAGTCCGGTAGGTAATTTTGATACATTTCTTCAAAATCTTAACGACGTGTTAAACTTTTTACATAAACCGGGATACAAAATCCTGCTGAATGGGGATTTCAACGTGGATCCTCGGCGAGACGTTTTAGAATATACTAACCTCATACACCTACTAAGCACATTCAACCTTCGAATGATAATAAAAGAAGCTACGAGACTAAACAATACGCTCGATCATTTATATGTAAACTATGAAAATTGCGGTCAACACCTAATTCTAGATAATTGCATATCGGACCACAGGTCAATTCTGTTTCAATCTAATATTAGTGCAAACCTTCTCCCCGAAGAAAAGCACTCCAAACTTATGCGAAAATATTACCTGGAGAATATAAACAATTTCAAACAAGCCATTGGGAACATAAATTGGAGGAAGCTTCATCAATGCGCAGATATAGATGAAGCATATCAACTCTTTTATAATGAGTTCCAATATCATTTTAATATACATTTTCCTTTAAAAAAGGTACGTTTTACTCGGCTCTCTCATAAATGGGTGAGCGACGAAGTCAGAAAATCATCTCATAACCTTCGTGATTTATTTATGTTAACAAAAAAATATCCCGAGCTATCTGAAATTTACACTGCTAAGAAACAAAAACATTTTTTGTTGCTTAAAAATTCTAAAAGAAGATATTATCAATCTCAAGTTGCTAATTCAAGTAATGTTTCTAAAACCGTCTGGTCTATTGTCAGAAATGTGTCTAATGCTAATCACGGGCATCAAAAGTTATCATTAAATATTAATAACAAAATAGTTTCTAACCCAAACCAATTAGCTAATAATTTTAATGATTACTTTTGCAAGATAGCCCAACTGCTAGTACAAAAATCAAGTCACTCACACATTGCTAACCACAGTGTTAAGTTCCGTAACAATTTCACACTAGCACTTTTTCCATTCTCTGAAGAAGAACTTTGCTTACTTATTGGCACAAAATTAAAAAACAAGTATTCGGCGGGTAATGATGAAATACCTCCAGCCCTCATTAAAAAAATAGCCTCAGCATTAGGGAAACCTTTAGCAATTCTAGTCAACTTATCTTTTGCAAGTGGCAAATTCCCAAGTCAATTAAAAACTAGTAACATTATACCTATTTATAAGAAAGGCGATCCTAGTGATATGGAAAACTACCGTCCTATATCGCTGAGCTCAGTCTTTTCAAAAATTTTCGAATATTGTTATTTAGACAGATTACAATCATTTGCTGCTAGATTCAACTTGATTTCTTCCAACCAGTTCGGATTTCAGCCAAAAAAGTCAACCACGGGCGCCTTACATTCTTTTTACAACAGATTAGTGTCATATATCGACAAGGGGCAATATCCAGTTGGTATATTTTGCGACCTCACAAAAGCTTTCGACTGTGTCAATGTTGATAAATTGATGTGTAAATTGGACAGGTGTGGGGTGCGAGGACTAGCACACAAGTGGCTTGAATCATTTCTCAAAAATCGTAAACAGAAAGTGGTAATAGATTATTGTAACAACGGAGTTCGTGAATCGTATTCATCACAAGAGGCAGTTGTTGATATAGGTGTACCGCAAGGATCCGTGCTAGGGCCAGTTCTATTCCTTTTCTATATGAACGATATCCACCTTCACCTGAACGAAGAGGCACATTGCATTCTGTACGCAGATGACACATCCTTATTAATTTCTGACGAATGGGATAAATCTTTAGAAAACATATGTAACAAAAATTTATCTCAGCTATATGATTGGTTTTCATCTAATTCGCTCACTCTAAGTGAGAAGAAGAGTAATTTTATCAGGTTCCGTCACCTCCAATCTAATGTACAAAACATAACTTTAACTTTTAATCAATTTAAATTACAGGAAGCGACCAGCACAAAATTTCTAGGTTTACATATAGATGCACATTTGAATTGGCAAGTACATTGTACTAATATAGTCAATAAGTTAAATAGAACTAATTATTTATTTAGAAACTTACGTACTATATTTACACTACCACAATTAATTCCGATCTACCACGCATCAGTAGCTTCTATCATTCGTTACGGAATTTGTTTATGGCGACCATCCCCTTATTCTCGTTGCGTCTTTCTCTCTCAAAAGAGAATTATCCGAACACTTGCAAATATTCGCAAATTTGATTCTTGTCGAGGATTCTTCAAAAAACATAAAATTCTCACTCTAACAGAATTGTATATAATTGAAATCTGTCAATATATTTATGTCAACTCTAACAAGATGGTTAAAAGTAAGGATATACATCAATACAATATCCGAGGTAATGATAATCTTCGACCACATTTCACTAAGACAAAAATTGGAATCAATTCACCTTCCAATCTGGGAATTAAGATCTATAACCATTTACCTCACATAATACGTAACTGTAGGCAATTATCAATCTTTAAAGAAAAATTATATTTGTTTCTAGTTGACAAATGTCACTATGATATAAGTGAATATCTTACTGTTTAATGTAACTTGTTTGTCGCTATTTAATGTGTAATTTGTTTTTTACCTATATAATACTTAATACTCGTAATTTAAATATTTGTTGACAATTTCCACACAAACTAGTTTGTCTATGGAATAAAATACTATTATTATTATTATTAAAATTAATAAGAAAAAGTGTTTTCCCGAGAAATTTTGGTGCAGTCGATTTTTGGTAAAAAAGGAGGGTTATACATTGCCTTTTTTTGAGCCCCGAAAAAAAATTGTCTCAGATCGACCCGGAAAAAAAATTTTCTTATATAATGTGGCCTGTAGAATCCATAATTTCAAACAGTTCCAAGATTGGGCTACTAATTGAAAAGTTACAGCCCTGTGAATTTTTTTTTCGAAATTGGTTTCTAGTCTATAACTTTTGATTGAGAGGTCTAATCGAAAAAGTACGAATTGTTTTGGATTCTACGCACCAAAATTAATAAGAAAAAGTGTTTTCTCGAGAAATTTTGGTACAGTCAATTTTTGGTAAAAAAGTAAGGTTATACACTGCCTTTTTTTGAGACCCGAAAAAAAATTGTCTCAGATGGACCCGGAAAAAAATTTTCTTATAGAATGTGGCCTGTAGAATCCATAATTTCAAACAGTTCCAAGATTGGGCTACTAGTTCAAAAGTTACAGCCCTTTGAATTTTCTTTCGAAATTTGTTTCTAGTCTATAACTTTTGATTGAGAAGTCTGATCGAAAAAGTACGAATTGTTTTGGATTCTACGCACCAAAATTAATTAATTTCCCTAGAAATTTTGGAGTAGTCGATTTTTGGTAAAAAGAGGAAGGTTAAGTATTCAAATACTAGGCGAAGTATTCGAATACTAAATATGTGTGAAAGTATTTGAGTTACAAATCCAAATACTGCTTCCATAAAAGAAATTAATTACAAAGTATTTGAATACTAAAAAGTATTTACAAAATCGAATACTGTCCAGCTCTGGTCCCAACACACAAAAGAATCCATTTCAGTCATTTCCTAATTTTGTTCATTTTCATTTAGTTACTGGAGTAATATTAGCTTATGTTCTGCATTTTGCATCGTATAGTCTGGTCTGGTATATAACATTTAGTTTTTTTGTGGCTAAATTTTGTCCTTCGTTAGGTTTCCCTGTTGGAATAATAATAGTTTATTGTTAAGCGGTGCAAGCTCTATAGGGGAGTCTATGGGGCCCGTCGGTCCGTCCGTCCGTGAACGAAAGCTGTCAAACGCTTGGATCGATTTGGTTCAAAATTTTGACCTATATGCCACAAGTAATAAGCCTATTGGGAATGGGTTAAATCCAATGATTCCGTAGGGTCACACCGAGGTGCTCTGTCGCTTTTTCAGATGCTCTTTAGGGGTTTATTTTGTTAATATTCTGTTGAAAATCGCCACTTACGTTTAATTAGTATGTGTCCGTGCTATAGGTACCTTATATTTGCGTGCGTATAGGCATTTATGTGTAGTTATTTTTTTAATTGAATCAGTAATTGAAACACAAATCCTTCCTCTTACTAATTTAATTTAAAAAGACACAAAAGAGACTAGTTTCCACCAAAGGTCATCTTCTGGCTATAACATCAATTACAGTTTTTAATGTTTAAAGTCCTAAAGCACATACCTAATGGAAATTACATATTAAAACGGAACATTCTAGAAGTTACAAGTTTTTACAGATTTTTAAACGTTTAAACGTATTTCTGAAATATGCCAAGTTTGCAGTTTTACGCCACTGCATGATATCACACTGAGTTCGCATTTGTAACTAATTACTTCTAATTAAGAGTGATTGTATATGATCGCGATTCCAGACATCTTGTCGCCTAGGTTTCCGAAACTAATCAAGAGAACAATACTTTATTCAATTGAAATTACGTAGAAACATTTTCTGATATGTAATCTATAATTGTTCTACCTTTAGAATTCTCAAAATGTCACAACGAAATTTCGAAAAAAATTAAATGCAAATTTGGAGCTACCGTTACATGTATGATATTTTTAAATTCATCTACTACAGTAAATAATGCAGGTATTACTATTATGTTGTAACCTGATTTATAATTATCCTATTACATAACAGCCGTAGATATAAGTAATTTTCTACATAGCACATAAAGTTTCATTCGCAAATTTGAGTTTATTCCGTACAAAAAATCTTACATATTCATTTTTCCGAAAGGAAACCTTCTATGAACTTTAGAGGTAAGGCTTGTAACGATTTATTTTCTACCTTACAAAGTATTATTATTGTTTACGGTTTACTACTTCTCGAAGAAACTCCGTAACATTTGAAGCGATTTGATAGATGGCTCCACCTATTGATGGAATTTAACCACGCAATTTTCCGCGCAGAGATGACAGCGCATTGAAACTTCCATTCCGTCTTTTTCCGTTTTCGGTCGGCACGTTGGTCGAAAGCCAATGGCTCTTAAGGTGGTTTGAACATTTACATAGAAGTGTTCTATCTGATGATTCTCCGATTAGTTGTGACTTCGAGATTGGGGTTGTTTCGATCTGCATTTACGTTCTGATTGGGAATTTTACACGTAAGTGATACGCCATTTTGCTAGCGCTTGGTTATCTTGGTGCATTTTTTTTAGACATCCAATATCTGACGATTGAGCCGACGTAATTTAATAATTGTTACATATTTAAAAGATTCATTACAAGCTTCCAATCCCTTCGATAATTCTTCCGAAGAGGAATTACATAATTACACATTTTAAAGTACTCCAAGGTAACGCATCTTACCACCCCCTCCCCCTCTTGTATGCATGGGCATTTTTTTGCCTTGCTTGTATTTATAACCCCTCGAGAGATTCAAATCGAAGGCTTTTCTGATACCACCTGTGATGTTATATGTAGGTATCAAAGAAACAGCGATGCCTCCTTCTTGTCCAATTTAATAAAAAATTATAGGCCAACATTACAAAACATGTATTTTACAGCCTTGGTGAATGTCATTACCATGCGTTTGGCTCTAAGAACGACTTTATACGACAACTCCAACTCGTGATCACTAGGAACTGAAATTACGTAGTGCCGAAGGATCGTTGCTATTATGGTCTTTATTTCCATGTAAGCCAATTTATAACCTTTAAAAAATCTTAAATTAATCCACTATAACTGGTAAACGATACTAGCAGTTACAAAGGTTTCGACGAATCACTTGGTTCGTTGTAAAAAATGATTTTTATGACGGTCCGTAAATTTCCCAGAAACTTCCTCCTTCCACGTAAGCTCCAACTTGCCAAACATCTGCACTATTCTTGAGAGTATTCGTCCCGTATTCAATATAGCCCAATGCATGTCCATTAACAATCGGGTTTGAGAAAAACAGTGGGACCAAATGGTAGAATAAGGAAGTAGTCACTCTATATGGTGAAATCCCGGGGGTTGAAAGGGGTGGAAAGTGATATTTTGCAATTTGTGGCAAAACTATTAATTTTAGGCGCAAATGTTCAATGTAAAAGTTATAGAGAATAAAAAATGAACAACTTTTGTGTCTGCAATATTTTCCTTGAAAAAGCGGAAAAAGTGTTTTTTTCGTTTTTTGTTATTATTTTTGCGAAAAAAAGTCGTAGGGGTTTGAAATTTAGAGAAAACATTGTTTGTTTTATGATAAAAAAAAGGAGATAATTTTTTGGGCCCGTAAAGTTGAACCATTTCCAAGATCTCACGATTTCTGAAAAAAAACTACCTCTTTTTCAAGGGGATGAGAAATATATTTTTTCATCGTACAGAGGTGCGCAGGGTAGTAAAATTGTCGTAAGGACTTACATTTTAATAATCAAAAATAACAAATATTATTCCAATAGAAACATTTTAAGAAAAGCAGCAAACACTGGGGGAACAGTATTAAGATTTATCGTTTTTGACATAGTAGGTAAATAGCTTTTTTTGCAACTAAATTAACGTATCGTATCCGCGCTAATAAAAAGTTTTTAAAATCTGTTTTCTCTCTCCTCTTTAATGTTGATAAAATATTTTCTTTTGTTTCCTACTGCCCAACTGCCTTAATTAAAACATCTTTATTATTTCTTTTTTCTGCATTTTTACTGCAATAAAAGCAATTCGAAATAAAATGGATTTCTTTTGCTTCCTGAACCATTTGTTTTTGTTCCCTAACTCTTTTTCGTGCCTGTTTTGCAGCTGATGGGATTAAGCTGGGCCTGTTGATCGTTAATTTACAGGAATTGTGAATAAAATCCTCACGAAGTTTATTCCAGGTTTTACATCTCAAACCATTTGCTTTGGCCTGTAAAATTAACGTCCTTATTGCAGATTTTGCAAGTTTATCAACAGGCCCAACGCGCAATTGCATCAGCTATAAAATAGGCAGAAAGAAGAGTCAGTGAACAAAAACAAATTGTTCAGGAATCGGGAAGCAAGATAATTCGATTTTATTTCGAATTGCTTTTATTGCGGTAAAAATGCAAAAAAAAGAAATAATAAAGATGTTTTAACTAAAACAGTTGAACATAAGATAACAAAAGAGAATATTTAAGCAAACTTAAAGAGAAGGAAGAAGACAGATTTCGAAAAAATCTTTATTAACATCCAACACGTTGATTTATCATGTCAAAAACCGTGTAGGTATATCTTAAAACTATTTTTCCAGTTTTTGGGGATTTTCTCGAATTTTTGCTATACGAATAAAATTTTTTATTTTCGTTTATTAAAATATAAGTCTTCCCAAAAATTTTGCTACCCCGCTCACCTTTGTTCGGTGAAAAAAATAGATTTTTCATCCCCTTGAAAAAGAGGTGTTTTTTCCAGAAATCGTGAGATCTCGGAAACGGTTCAACTTTACGGGTCCAAAAAAATTGTCTCCTTTTTTATCATACAACAAGCTTTACTCCAAATTTCAAACCCCTACGACTTTTCTTCGTAAACATAAGAGTGAAAATCGAAAAAAAAAGGTTTTTCCGGTTTTTCTAGGAAAATTGGAGGTTACGTGTTAATAGTGAAGATACAAAGTTGCTCCTTTTTTAATCTCTATAACTTTTACATTAAACATTTTAGTCTGAAATTAATAGTTTCGCCACAAATGCAAAATACCAGTTTCCACCCCTTTCAACCCCCGTGATTTCACCCGCGGAAAAATTCAGCTGTTTTAATTATTTTTTTCCCATTTCTAATCATTTCACCTGCCTTGTTTCGCCCGGTAACTAATTTTTTTTGTTAAAAAATATTATACAGAGTGGCGCAACGAGAAGTATACAGATGGCTTTTAGGGTATTAAATTAAAAAAAATAAAAAATTTTAGGGTATTAAATTTAGAAATTTCGAAAAATTCTCGAACCCCTAAAATTTTAAATGGAATCCTATGGCAAATGGCTCATTATTTGAAAGCCAATTTAATCGTGATTACTAATCTACTTTGCTTTTTAAATTCTATTGATACGTGTCGGAGATATTCGCATTTGAAATGGTTTTTTTCCCTGATTTAAGTCCTTTAGATTACTTCTTGTGGGGATATTTAAAGAATAAAGTTTATGCTACTCCGCCCGGAACATTACAAGGGTTGCGAGCACGTATAACCATAGTGTAAAAATAGAATACACTATGGTATAACTCAACAATTTCGAGCGATTACCCCTGAAATCTTGCAACATGTACGGCAGCGTTTTGAAGCAAATCTTTATTATTGCATGGAAGCAGGCGGAAGGCTATTTGAGCATTTTATTGAAATAAATGTTGTGTGTTTAAAGTTATATGTTATTTTTTGCACAATTTAAACCTTGTACTAAAATTTAAAAATTTTAATACTCGTTTTAATACAAGGTGACTTAGATCGCATTTGTTTTGTTTTTTTTAGAAAAAAAACATTTCAAATGCGAATATCTCCGAAACGAATCAATAGAATTTAAAAAGCAAAACAGATTAGTAATCACGATTAAATTGGCTTTCAAATAATGTGCCATTTGCCATAGGATTCCATTTAAAATTTTAGGGATTAAGCTCCCTACGTAGAGGGGTGAAGACTTGGGTTCGTGATTTGTATTCCAAAAGTTGTCCCCCCTCGAATACAAAATTGACGTGTTCGAGGATTTTTCGAAATTCCTAAATTTAATACCCTAAAATTTTTTTTTTAATTTAATACCCTAAAAGCCCTCTGTATACTTCTCGTTGAGCCACTCTGTATAGCCTGTACTACTTGGACTAGGGTGATTTTAATCGATTTGTTGCCCTCACGATCTTTTGTTTGTTTTTGCAAGTGATTATTCGAAGCATGCTTGTAGTTACCAATAGTTTCCGTTAGCTATCAATAAAATGAAGAAAAGGGTACATGTAAGACCGTAGTCAAAGGACACACAAACAAACGGTAAAGTGTCTTAATAGATTTTGGCAATTTGGTGTAGCAAATACAAACCCACCTATGCAATTCCGTGGTCCGGCACTAAACGGTATGAAAGAGTAAGGGTGTAATGCTTTCACATTTCCTCGTGAAAATCGATCAGGGTTAAAATTTTCTGGATCTGGATGATACTCTTCTAGTCTGTGCACAGCAATTGGTAATATAAGTATATTTAATCCTGCAGGCAGTGTACAATTTTCTGAAAAACCATTGTTATCATAATGATATGGATTTTGTTGTCTTGCCTAGTTGAACGTCCTCGACCAATTTCTTAGAAATCAACGGTATACTGGGAAATAGTCTTAGCGACTCATTTATGCACTGTTGGAGGTAAACCATTTCGTTCAAGCTGCGTAAACTTATAAAAGAGTGTTTGTTAAATACAGTTTCCAATTCCTCCACCACCTTCTGCTGCGTTTCTGGGTGCTTAGCCAAATTATACAGTGTAAACGTTACAGCGCCAGCTATAGTATCTTGTCCCTAAAGCCAAATTGAATCATTACCTATACGAAAACCTTCTATTACCGAAAGCATGAATGTGCAAATTTGATCGACAATATCTTCATCTGTAAATTCGCCTGTGGTGTTCGCGACACGGATCAAATGGTCCAAAAGACACCACTCCAAATTATTTTCACTCCTCCGACGTTTGTCTAAAATCTGGCATGGTTGTTTTTCATCAAACGTTCTGTGAAGGTTATCGACCTACCTCCCTAGCAAATTCTTTAAAGCTTGTCTGCTGTTGCGTTTCGTTATTGGAAAGGGAGGAGAATCGGTAAAGATTTTCAATTAAGTACAGAGGTCTCTGAAATCTCGAAATTATAAAGGGGTGACCTCTGCAACAGTGGAAACGTTATTTAATCTGACCGGCAGCTTTGAAATGCGTTACGTTACGAATGGAGATCTTAACTTGGTCTCGTGATCGCTGAGAGGAATGCCCATCATCGTATCTAAACAAAAAGGACAAATGTGGTAACTCTAACGCAGCGTTCTTAGGGCTTACGGTGCAGGATGCCTCGCACGCAGATGTTAATGAGGTCGGTTATCTTAACTTCGCTTTTATCTTGTAGACCGTCCACTACCAACTCGGATGATTCGGCGAATGTGGTAATAAATGAGTTGAGTGTCATTCGATGGAAGAACGGTTCTATAAGTTTCCTGTCATGTTTCCATTTGGCTCCTAGATAAAGAAATCATCTAAATTCAATTAATTTTGGCACACTTCCAAAAGCTTTAGTTCATGAGAAAACCAAGGATTAAAGTAAGTATGTCGGGAAGAGGATGGTTAGTATCATTGATCCTAAAGCCATACCGCTACTTGTAAGAATGCCATGGCCAAAGAACTTATCCAACAGGGTGTATAGAAAATTTTTGTGTGTCTGATTCGCGTTTGCCATTATGGCCTTGATGTCACTAGGGTTGTTCACCACAACGAATGGAACTAAACAAACCCACAGCCTAACTAACGGTCCATATAGTTTAGACAACGAAAGAAACGTCTTTATTGTTTCTGAAATGAGAACCTTGGAGCAAATCATTCTTTGTAACTTACGTACCTATAACTTACCGGTTGTGGTTGTCAGTATGGTAGTGTTACCAACTAATGACGTTACAGGGGGCCCTGGTAGACGGGAAACCAAATAGACACATCTGAGCCAACACTTCAACTTTAGAAGACCTAAGGTAACCATTACCGTCAAAAGGACCATGACGGGGTATGAAAACAAAAAGTGCGTCATTGTCATACGAATGAAATGAATTTCACCACTCGTAGCGCTTTTGGAAACTGACTGATACAATAATGAGAATTGCGACTCGTGCAGTGAAATGTACTTTGTATCATAAACTATCTACATAACGCCCACCTATTGCGGTGAAACGGATCGCAATGCTGTCTCTGGGTGCGGTAACCTTGAAATTTCGCTTTACGAATTTTGCAAGCGTTTAAAAAAATAAGGGTTATTTACATATAAGTCCGGAAAATGACACATTACTGGCAAGGGAATATTGGGTTGCGAAAGTACTTTATTTTGCCAGTCAAGTAATGTCATTTTACTGACGAGTTTTGTATTAAATTTTACCCAAAATCGTATTTCATTATCAAATTTCAATGTTTATATAGAACTTTTGATTGATTGATGACAGGAGTCATTATAGGCGTTTAGCAATGTCACAGATGCGGCCGGTAAAGTGACAGATGCGGCCAGTAAAGTGACAAGCGGCAGGAAACGTAGTCTACTTTGCTTCTGTCATGGAAACTAAAATTTCCTGACAGAAAGTAGCCATGAAAATGAAGACAATAGACAATAGATAAAGGTTGAATATCTGTGGTTGTTGAGATAGTGATAGAATATAAGAATGTTAATAAGAAGGATTAAATTAATATTTTTATTTTCCTTCAAAACATTAAATTGACAATACTTTTTCTTTATTATTGTTACTATGCCAACTAAAATTATAATCAGATATAATGATTTGTAACATTCTCCCCCAGAAAAGATAATCAAACATTATAAATATAATTTTAGAATTAAATTAAAACTAAAATTATGTTACTAAATAAACTTATTCCGCATATCTAATGGGAGGTCGAATAACTCTACCTTTACTGGTTACAACGAAACCATCTATTTTTGATGGTTCATTGTTCGTATTACGATTAAACTCGGGTTTTGGGTCATTTTTAAGAACATCTATATTTAATTCTAGAGGATATAGTTTTTGAACAGCCCTAATTATAAAACCGTTTTGGCATTTTAACTTTGCTGATTCGTATCACACCATCTCTACTTGTAAATACTTCCACTATGCGTGCGATAGGCCAATTCTGGCGTTTCTTATTCGAATCTTCACATAATACTAATTCACCTACTTGTAAAGGTCGTGTAGTTTTGCGACTCTTCTTTAATAGTAAAGTTAAATATTCTTCGATGAAACGCTTCTTAAATTCCTGGCGTAATTCACACAAATAAGCCGCTCTCCCGGCCAAATTTTGAAATTCGGGAAGTTCCTGATTTCGTAATTCATGCAAAAATAAATCCGGTGTAATTGGACATAAATCATAAGGATCTTCGCTGATGTAAGTTAAAGGACGAGAATTTACAAGTGCTTCTACTTCACATAAAATGGTAGACAACTCATCTGTTGTAATTCTTGCCTTTCTCAGGGTTTTTCTTATATTGTCTTTGCAACAACGAACCATTTGTTCGAAGAATCCACCGTACCAACTTGCTGCTGGTGGTTTCCGAATCCATTTAATTTTTGGAATTTTCTCTAAGTGATCTTCAAAAGCATTCAGTATATTGATAGTTCCAATAAAATTTGTTTCATTACCTGAATACATTTTTAATGGTCGGCCGCGTCGTGCAACAAAACGTCGAAAACATCTAATGAAAGTTTCAGTAGACGTGTCATGAACAAGTTCAAGATGTATTGCTCTATAAACCGCACACGTAAATAATGTAACCCACACTTTACCATTGTCTTTTGTATATAATGGTCCAAAGTTGTCAACTCCTGTGACGGCAAATGGGGCTCCTGGTTGCGTTCGTGCAGCAGGTAAATTAGCGATCGGAGGTATAGCAGGTTTAGCCGTATATCTGCGGCAAATAATACATATTTTGATGACCTTTTTGACATTTTGTAAAACTTTCGGAATCCAAAATTGTGGTCTTAACAACGTCACAATTGTGGAAATGCCAACATGTTGATTTTTATCATGCTCATCCCAAATCAATTGACGAACAAGAAAATTATCTCCAGGTAATAACAAGACTCGATTGACGGTGTTAAGTTTTGGATTGTTTAGAACTCTGGTTTCGACGTACAATAAATCGTTCTCTTCAATAATATCCAAGTTCTTAATATGATCCGTAGTGAGACTTGTTTTTTGTATGTACCTATATAAAATTTCTCGGCATTCCTCAATTCTGCGATACTCAATGGGCCTTTAATTCTGTTGTTTATATTCTTCTTTCTGGCATTATACACGTGAATCGAAAAAACATTGCGATCATTCTTTTGCTTCGTACAAATGAAGTAAAATATTTCGTGCAGGTTTCATAAGGTACTCGATTTTCTAATGCAATAAAAATATTAGTGATAGTTCGATGATTACTTTCAGAGTCCACTTCTGGCACATGTTCAATGTTGGATTTTGGCCATTGATCAATGGAACAACGTAACCAATCTGGCCCTTTCCACCACTGTGATTGAATCAATTGTCCAACATTGCATCCTCGACTTGGTAAATCAGCTGGATTCATTTCACTAGGAAGGTGTCGCCATTTTTCAAGATTTGTGAGTTCTGCAATTTCACGCACTCGATTAGATACAAAATTTTTCCATAGTGTAGGTTGTTTTAACCAACAGAAAACCACCATTGAATCAGAATAAAAATATGCCGGAAGATGTGTCCAATTTAAATCTCTAACAATATTATGATATAGACGACTTCCAATTAATGCTGGCAATAATTCCATTCGCGGAATTGCATCAGCGTAAAAGCCCTTTTTTAACAACGTAACAGTTGATTCGTTACCTTTAATTTCATTCAAGTGATGTTGAATTGTAGCAGTTAAATGGAAAGATGAAGACGTTAACCCGAATGGAACCCTTTGAAAACGATATCATGTTATGTTTCTACTGGTATCATACCATAAGAATCGTAAAGCATCACGATCTTTATGATGTATACCAACCATTAAAAATGCTTTGCGAATATCTGCTGTTATACCAATGGATCCTTCTCGAAAACGAGTTAATACAGAAGGTAACGTTTCCAATAAATTAGGCTCCTTTTCTAAACATTAATTGATGGAAACTCCAGTATCTGTTTTAGCCCTGGTTTTAGCTGATCCGTCAAAAACCGGACGAATTTTTGTAGTTGCCGATTTCTTGAATACAGGTCGATGTGGTAGATAATGAAGAATTCCTTCAATCTCAGAGGGAGCGTTTTCAATGATGCCTTCTTTTTTCCAATCTACAAACACTTCATTGTAAAGATCAAAATTTTGTTGTTGATGTAATTGTGTGGTGATTCTGTGAAGACGAACTGTTGCCGCCTTTTTATTGTCCCCTAAAGGAGGATGACCTTCTCTCCAAGGTAACGACACATTATATCGACCGTCTTCTCCACGTGTAATTGATAATTCAAAGTTATGTTTCACATTCATTTCGTCGGGTTTAATGCCAATAGCATCTAATTGCCAAACGTCTGTGACATTGAGCCATAAATGTACTTGCGCTATTGAATCATCATTATTAATGTTGCCCAAAACAGTCCACCCTAACAAGGTTTCAATGGCAATGGGACCAACAATTGTATTTTGATGATTACCAGTGAGAATATTTCCCAAATAATCAGCACCAAGTAGAATATCTACGCTGCCAAATTGTTGATGATTTGAAATATCCGTTACAGTGATATGTAACTGTTTCAACTCTTTGATAAGTTGTGTGTTTTGGATATATGGGACGCCATTGGAAATTGTCTGTGTTTCTGACGCTTTCATGTCCAATGTAAAATTTCCCTTCCTCAACTGAATATCATATTGCTGAACTTTCCGTGAAGGAATGGTAACACCACCAAAAAGTTTTTGAGTGAGATCAATAGCTCTAGTTGACTGTAATTGATTACGTTTGCAACAGTCAGTAGTGATGTACGATCGTTGAGCGCCACTATCAAGTAGAACACGTACTGCAATAGGGCCATTGGTTCTGATTAAAGAACACGTTAACGTTTGCAAATAAATGGGATTTTGGGTTTCGGTATGATTACCGACAACTGTTTTGACGGTTTTATTCTCACATGCCCAAGTGTGATGTTGCTCATCACAAATTTCACATTTATTGCCCGACTTACATGTCCTTGGATGAGACCGAAGGCATTGTTTGCACCAATTATGTGTTTTAATAAACTCTAACAGTTTCTTTATAGGTATTTTACGAGCAGCGAAACAATTAGCAAGAATGTGATTATCCGTTTTACAATAGAGACATTCTTGTTTTTTACCTTCTTTTTTAATAAATCTATCCTTGTGTTTTTGAAACTGTTCTGTTTCTGGACTGCTTGAATGTAATCAAATCGGTTATCTTTGGTGTGCTTTGGGTTTCCGTTGTGGATGATTTGAGTGCACGTTGTCGTTCCCAGTCCATAATGACATCTTTTGGTAAAGCTGCTTCCACTAATGGATATAACATAGCTTCATAAGTGTCAGTAGTTACACCTAAAGTCTCTAAAGCACGTAATTGCCCTTACAGATTATCATAGAGTTCATTTAAGGTAATGTTACTATTACGATTTAAGATCAAAGACAATAAATCCCTAACATAATATAATTCTATTAAGAGTTTTGTTTGTCCGAATCGTTCTTTTATGAGATCAATAACGACTTTATGTGACGTATCATTTACGGGAAATGCCTCTACTAATTGATGAGCCTGATCCACACATGATTGTCTTAAGTATAAGAGTTTATCGATGTTAGACAATTGTGGATCTTCATCTATTTTTTGAAACTGTCCCCAAAAATTTAGATAATTCCGGGGATTTCCATCAAATTTAGTTAATTCAAACTTAGGTCACTTATGTGTATGATTAAACTTACGTGGTTCTACAAGGGTTACCTTAATATCTTCTGACACACTAATTAGTTCTGTATAAATGTCTCTATCTTAGACCATATAGTACATGGACTGCTATTAGCCCTATGCTTTCAATACAAAATGGCTGGTCACGGATAGAGGGCACTGAAGTCGTGGGTATGTGAATCTCAGGGTAAACTAAAGTCGTGTAAACACCACTTGGATCGCGTAAAGAGTAGGTTTTATAGCAACCGCGTAGAACGGGAAGCTTTAAATACGCTTGATTATCTTCAATACTTCCACAAATTAGAATAGGTTTGCTTTTTTGGCATATCTGGGCGATTAATTAATTGACGGTTGTTAATTTATAGGTTGACAGTCTCAAATCGTAACTAATCGGACAACTTCGGACAGACTCGTTTACCCTGAAACTCACATTTATTTCTCCGAATAAGCAGAGTTTCTATTGTCGCCATTCCGGTCGCCAGATGTTGAGATAGTGATAGAATATAAGAATGTTAATAAGAAGGAATAAATTAATATTTTTATTTTCCTTCAAAACATTAAATTGACAATACTTTTTCTTTATTATTGTCACTATGCCAACTAAAATTCATCAATCAGATATAATGATTTGTAGCAGTGGTCATACCTTCTAAAGACGAATGCTCCGGATTAGATTTTGAGTATCTAGATCACAATTTTGTTTTTGAAGAAACATATCAATTACTTCTTCCGGTGAAGAGCTATCAACTTCATACTTTCACTGAAATTTGGACAAAAGTCCCACAAGAATGGCAAGATGAAAGATTTCCCAATGAAAACAGTATAACTCCTTGCGCCAAAAGCAATGAAACCTGAATGCAAGACGCGGTACCAACTAACTAGCGGTAATTTGCATAAAAAATGGCAACATTACGGTTTACTAGCGAAACAGTTTAAGAATTAAAGGGTCAGTAAAATGCCGTTTAAATAATTACAAAATTATGCTTACTTCCAGAAACAGCTTCCTAGCTCGAAGCAAATATTTAACAAAAAAAAAAGCTTTTTTGACAGTCTTACATCCTTTATGCCTAATATACACTGCTAAAAGTCATATTACACTAAATTGTTCTACAGGAAAATTTTTGTTGACCTCTTGCAGAATTCAATGTAAACGATTATTAATTAATTGAAAATTGCTTTGTTTGGTGTGCTATTATACCAATTTCCCAATCGTTAGGAACTTTCCCCGTATTCTAAACTTTATTAAAGATTTCGGCGTTCCTTTGTCTCCTATATTTTTTACAATTTCTGGTGTTATTCTATTGTACCCTCCTGCTTTCCCATTCTTTATTATTTTCACTACTTCTATAACCTCTTCTACTTTAATTGGGTTATCTCTCTATCTGAGTAATATTTGGGTATCTTCTCTTCACCAACTGCTTCGTTTTCTTCTTTATTGTACAATAATTCTTGGAAATACTCCTCCCATCTCTTCATTGTTCGAAGCTCGTCTGTAATTTATTTTGTTGTCTTTTCCTTTGATGTGCTTTAACGTATAGTTGTTAGGTTTTCTCACGATCTTATGTTCTTTATAAAAGAGTTTCTGATTGCTGTGTTTATTTTCTTCCATACTGTTTCCAAATTCATCCAACGCCTTTTGTTTTGCTTCTATTACCATGAGTTTTACTTTCACCTGTTGTTTATATTTGGAATAGGTTTCTGCCTTAATATTTTGGTTCCACCATCTTGTTTGTTTTCTGTTTTTATTTATCAACACGCTCCGACCGCGGTTGATAGTACTATTTCTTTAAATTTTTGCCACATTTCTTCAACATTCATCTTCTCCCATTGTTGCTTACCTTTAGGTCCACCGTATACACTTGCTATTTTCTTATCCGTTAGACTATATGACTTTATTGTTTCGTTTGTTTTTTGCAAGTTTCTCTTTAGTTTTTGCTTCTCTTGGTTTTTTTTTGTATTTTCGCTTCTACCAGTTAAGGATCACTGTAAATTTCTGGCCCTCTTCTAACTCTTATGTCTAATATGTCCCTCCTATATAATTCAATAATTAACTGTATAATAATTAATTATTTTCTCTACTAATTTTGTTTTCTAATCCAGGAAAGCTTCACTTGGGAGGATGTTTCATTTTCTCTCACAGAAACCCTTTCTTAATTAAGACCGAAAAAGCTAAACCACATTAAACCATAAAGTACTATAAATAATTAAAGTATCGGAAAAGTAGGAGTGCATCTAAAAAATAAAGTTGATGGTTCCGCAAAGACGAAACGTCGAATTCAAAAATTGACAAGATCATTATAAGTTGCTGTGGGGAAATCTCATTGGTTATTAGCTTTAGTTCAAAAAATGGTTCGCAAAATCAACAAATCAGATTTTTTTAAAATATTTAAAAAAAACAGAAAATGTTTCGGAGATTTTTAAACGTTATCTTCTTAGACATTTGATTGAGCAACTTTTCTTCCATTTAACCAATTTTGTATTTCTTACCGTTTCTAAAATCCTAATAGTGGCCTTCCTTATCTCGCTTACAGTGTATGTTACGCTGAAAAAAGTTGGGGTGCAGTTCCCTTTAAACTTTATGGGAAGGGAAACTACTTCCATTTATGAAACTAAGAAGATATTGAAATTAAGAAAAAATCATTCCGAGGGGGCCGTTGAAAAAAGACGATTTCGGGAAAACAATTGTTACTCCTATTGCATTAATTGTTCATCTAAGAATTCATCCAAACTTTCCGAGAAATTAATAAATACTTCTCTTTATTTTAAGACCGACGGACAGACAGAGAGAACCAATTTCATAAACAAGTTTTCCATCCCAATAGTCATTTCTAGGCTACTTCGGCATCATGATAAAATGCTCAATTGTGTTTGAATTAAGGATATTTGGCAACAAAAAGTTTATGTACCCACATTTACATAGTAATTTACATGTTATCGGCCCGAATCAAGTTGTAACGCATTATACGAATAGAAGTTATTCCCACAAGCTGATTCCTATTCAGTTACCTAGAAACTAGTCAAGAATTAAAAATATTAGTAGAGGCCAAGGCCTTTCAATAGTACTTTAACTTTATTCATGCCCCCGCCAGCTATTTATTACATACTGTATGTACCAAATCAGCGACAAAAATCACAGCAAAACTAAACCGCTGTATGATTTCATTGTCGTGGTATTAAATGCAATTTAATTCCCCCTTTAGCCCTTAACGTAACCCTATACGACGGTTCCAAATCATAGTCCCTAGGGAGAGTAATTTTAAAATTCCTTAGAACCGTTGCAATCATTGTCTTCATTTCCAAATAGGCAAATTCGTAACCTTGAAAGAAAATTAATCGTTGAAATAGAAACGCGAACTTACCGATACAATTCCTCGGTCCCGTGCTAAACGGTAAAAACGCGTAGGGATGTAGGGTTGCCTCGTTTTCGGATGAAAACCGATCAGGATCAAACTTGTGAGGATTGGGGTAGTAATATTCCAATCTGTGCGTTGTAATTGGACTTATAAGTACGTTTAAACCAGCGGGTAACTTGTATTTATCTAAAATTTAGGAACAGATTAAGATTTGAATGCGTTTGACACTCAAGAACAACAGTATCCTACAAATGTTCTAACCTGTTTCAGTACTGGGCACAAGTCAGACAGAATCCGCGTTGTACAAAAAATCTTACCGATTTGAACGTCTTCAACTAATTTTCGAGCGATCACTGGAACGCTTGGATAAAGCCGTAATGACTCCTTAATGCATTGCTTCATATACACCAAATCGTCCAAACTCTCCATGCTTATTCCAGGGTGATCCTTAAATACTCTATTCATCTCCTCCACTACCTTCTCCTGTACTTCAGCATGCTTCGCCAAACAGTACAACGTGAACGACACGGCTGATCCGACCGAATCCTGGCCCTGAAAACTGCCAAAGTTACCAACGTTTGGCTTCTGCTTGGATTAGTCCGTTACGGCAAGCATAAAAGTGCAGATCTCGTCTATGACGTTTTCTTCGGAGAACTGCGAGTGTTTTTCGGAAATTTCCAAGAAATATTCCAACAAACACATTTTTCCTTTATTGGTTGCTTTGCGACGTGAGTCTAAGGTCTTAAACAATAAACGATGTTGTTAGAAGGCATGTGTCTCAATTTCGGACTCACCTGCTTGACAAACTGTTGCAGAGTCAATTGCTGGTTTGACTCGCTTTTAGAAATTGAGGAAAATTGGTATATAAAGTCTAGCATGTACCACGGCCGTATTAGTCGTTGAAGCAAAACGAGCTGGCCCCTACAACAGTAACAGTTGAGGAAAATTCGGTATGCCATGAGGAAGCTCACTTATTGAACGGGGAACTTTTCTTAGCGGTTTGATCTCTAACAGGTATTCCCAGAAACGCGCCTAAAAATAAGATTAAGCTGTTTGTTGTAAGTGGAGATGTTACCAATTACAGTGTATAATATTTAGAACGCATTCATTAATGTAGGTGGTGATATTAACCTCGTTCTTGTTACTCAGCTTCTCCACCAAGAGATCAGACGATTCTTTAAACGTTGGGATGAATTGTTCCAAAACTCTCTTGTGAAAGCACGGTTGTATGAATTTACGATGGGTTTTCCATTCATGCCCTGAAATTCTCATCACGTTACTGGATTTCGTACGCAAGTTCCAACTGCCTTTTGAATGCGTTTTCCCTGGGAACTTTGCCGGTTATTTTTCCGGATCGTATGATAAGGATAAGCCTTCAAGAAACTTGAATTTATAGCTTAGAATATTTTTTGGCCTGTAGGATTCAAATCGCCCAGAAGATTGAAAATCGTACTAGACTAGCAAAAGATACAGCGTGCTTTTTGCTTTTTTTTCATTATAATACTTATAACCTTTCACGTACTGAAGCGATCATATTGTATAACGACAATTCTTTTTAATTTTGAGCTGTAGAACCCAAATCGCCCACAAAATTGAAAATCGTATTAGACTAGCAAGAGATACAGCGTTTTTTGAATTTTTTTTCCATTATTATACTTATAACCTTCCACGTGCCGAAGCGATCTCATTGTATAACGACAATTCTGTCAGATTTTGACGTATAGAATCGAAATCTCCCAGAAAATTGAAAATCGTACTAGTCTAGCAAAAGATACAGCTTTTTTTTACGTTTTTTGCCATTATAATACGGTTTTTCACGTGCAGGAGTTATGGAGACCAAGGTTCCACACCGAGAAGCTATTTACTCGCTTCTATGTAAAGCTATAACTTCAAGACCGGACATTTGTTTTGCGTCGGATTTCCTTGAAGAAAGCTTAATTTTCTAGCGTAAAGAAAATGGATTGGTGAAATGACTATTGAACTATACCTAAAAGGAACCCAGAACCTAGAGTGTTGTATAAGTATCATTGTGAATTGTAACTTTTGAACTAGTAGCCCAATCTTGGAACTATTTGAAATTATGGATTCTACAGGCCACATTCTATAAGAAAATTTTTTTTCCTGGTCGACCTGAGACAATTTTTTCTTCGGGGCTCAAAAAAAGGCAGTGTATAACCTTCTTTTTTTACCAAAAATCGACTGCACCAAAATTTCTCGGGAAAACACTTTTTCTTATTAATTTTGGTGCGTAGAATCCAAAAGAATTCGTACTTTTTCGATCAGACTTCTTAATCAAAAGTTATGGACTAGAAACCAATTTCGAAAGAAAATTCAAAGGGCTGTAACTTTTGAACTAGTAGCCCTATCTTTGATCTGTTTGAAATTATGGATCTATAGGCCACATTCTATAAGGAAATTTTTTTTCCGGATCGATCTGAGACAATTTTTTCTTCGGGGCTCAAAAAAAGGCAGTGTATAACCTTCCTTTTTTACCAAAAATCGACTGCACCAAAACTTCTGGGGAAAACACTTTTTCTTATTAATTTTGGGGCGTAGAATCCAAAACAATTCGTACTTTTTCGTTCAGACTTCTCAATCAAAAGTTATTGACTAGAAACCAATTTAGAAAAGAAAATTCAAAGGGCTGTAACTTTTGAACTAGTAGCCCAATCTTTGAACTGTTTGAAATTATGGATTCGGCAGGCCACATTCTATAAGAAAATTTTTTCCCGTGTCGATCTGAGACAATTTTTTTTTCGGGGCTCAAAAAAAGGCATTTTTACCAAAAATCGACTGCACCAAAATTTCCCGGGAAAACACTTTTTCTTATTAATTTTGGTGCGTAGAATCCAAAACAATTCGTACTTTTTCGATCAGACTTCTCAATCAAACGTTATAGACTAGAAACCAATTTCGAAAGAAAATTCAAAGGGCTGTAATTGTGATGATCTTGAAGCGTTCTGTGATGCGGATTATGGAGGGGACCGAGAAAGGAAGGGATTGCATAAATGCGTATCTTAGCAGACAATTTGGAAAATCACCAGAACACAATATTGTCAATAGCATAAATATAAATCTTGTTATTCGCACTTTGTTATGTAAAAACGACTCCAATTACCCTTCTCATAAACTAATTCAAAGAAGACGTACCATTTTTTGTTAATAATCCTTTCCCAAGGAACGTATGCATGAACTCATAAAAAAAATTCTTGCCTGCCGTCTTCGTGCTCGAGAGTATGATCTGGATGTGTTTCGGATCACCGACACCAACGGCAGGTAGAACAGAAATCCACAGTCCCAACAACGACCGTTCATACTTTCGTAGAGCTATTAGGAATTTTATGAATTCTGCAATGGACATGTGTAGAGGATTTTAAAATTAAGACACACGATATACTAATACCAGTTCCACTTCTGACTGAAAGTAGGTTTCCAAACAGCGGTACCACAGGAGGTCCTGTTAACCTTAAAACGAACAGGACACATCGAAACCAAGTGACTAATTGATTCCTAATCCCTAAGATTGTATACACCAAAATACACGCAATCAAGGCGTATATCACATAGACCGATACACCCAAATGAAGCATTGCAACTAACAGTGCGTGTTGACCGATTTTCCCATAGTTCGTAACAATGCTAATTTATTTAAGAAAGATTTGGATTTGTTTTTAGGTCGCATCTACATAAAGAAACACAGACTTCGCAATCTTTGCAACCATTGAGGGCATGATTCGTGTTAGTTATTTAAAATAGTAGGTAGATTAAACTGTATGGCAGTTGAATATAAGCTCTAGATGTGGCTCTGTATGATGCTTTATTACATTGGACTTCATTAACAAAGGCTGATCCTTAGATTCTTCAGCTGCTCTTTGCTAATCACACTGGGATGACGTTGCCCACCAATCTCCATTTTTTGTTCAGTTTATCTCCTTGAGAAATAGAGCAAGCACGGCTGATCGTTCATGCAAAAAATCGAATTTCGAAGGCATTTTGCGTCCCGTTCAAATGGTGATTTGTTGTTCCTTCATGTTTCCGCAAAGCCGTCTTGAAAGTGATAAGCAGCTGAGGTGATGTGCTAAATGTAGATATAGTGATCACTCTAACCGCAAGAGTAGATTAAGTGAAACAGATGAGTATGCGTTCTAATGATATCTGTTATTCTTAATTCAAATGGGACGCGGTGCACGATATACAAGGAAGTTCAGGACATAATGCAATGCTGTTTCTATAGAAACGATGCAACTAAGCTTGCTATTTTTGACGTCTAAGTTAGCAGAAACCTTACATTTAAATAGCTTCTGTTTTATTATACACGACGATAAATGGAAAACTAACCATCTCGTGAAAATATCCCTTGATCGATCTTGTATAATAAATAACTATTAGTCATCGTTTGTGAAACCGAGGAACAGTTGATTATTGGTACTTTAAACTTCGATCGGTGGCTTTTGTGGAAAATAATAGCCACTTAGAAAAGAAAATTTATTCATACTAGGCGGGCTAGCACCCAAATTTGATAAGTATTAACTTTATACAGCTTACTACCTACGCGTAATTCTGTATCGTTTTGAAATTTCGTACCCCGAAGGGCTATAATCTGAAGACCTCCCATCTCGGCCAAAGCATCAAGAGTCTGTATTTTGGCGTTTTCCAAACTGATAATGTAAAGCAAATCTAAACCATTAAAGGCACCAACGTCGACCTCGCTCAATTCGTTTTCATTTAAGATGAGTTGCTCCAAACTCTTCAGACCGGTAAAGACATCGGTTTTTAAGCGCGAAAGGTTATTCTTCGTCAAATCCAGATCGTAACAACGGTCCAATCCGGTAAAGCTGCCCTTAACCAATGACCTTATCTGATTGTTTCCCAACTTGAGATTTCGCAGCTCTCTTAAGCCTTGAAAGATGTCGGCTTGGAGTGAGGTGATCTTGTTTCCATTCAACAGTAAACGGCTAAGTTTACTCAAATCGCCAAAAATTGCATCTGGTAAGTCTTTAATTTGATTATTTTGCAATAGAAGCTCGCCCAATTGATCGAGATGCTTAAACACGGCCTCGTGAAGGGTTACCAGCGAGTTGTTACTAAGGTCCAGAGTGTTTAGGTCTTTTAAGTTGTGGAAAGCCCTCGCGTCAACTTCAGCGATTTTGTTGTTTTGTAGGAACAGCGTAATTAAGTGTTTCAGTGGTTGAAAGCTTCCACCTAACGCTTTCAATTGGTTATCTTCGAGGTAAAGGTTGACGATTTCTGGGCAATGCACGAAAATGTCGTCGGGCAGTGTTTTGATGCGATTGTTGCTTAGAGTAAGTGATTTTAAGTCGCCTAAGCTCGAGAATGCAAGTGGTTCTAGTTCCTCCAAAATGTTTCCGTGTAAATTCAATATCTCGATACTGGGTGTGTTAGCAAACATTTCGTTAGTTACCTTTTTAAGTAGATTTTTGCTCAAATGTAGCGACCTGACGGAACTCGAAACGATCTTAAACTGTTCGAGTTGGTTCCGTTTGAAACTGATGACCATCAAGCTGTCCAGGCCATCAAACACACGTTCAGGAATATGGCTGATTAAATTCTCATCGAGATTAAGAACTTTTAACGAACCAAATTCACTGAAAGTGCCTCTTGAATTGTTGTCAAGTTGCGATTCAACAAAAACACCTTTGAAATTGAAGTTCGCTCGAAGATGCTGGGAGGTTTTGGATCAAGTCCATCTTCTTCATGTACGATTTCGGATACGCCATCGGTGGTGCCCACCTCTTGAAAGGAAAGAATGTTATTGGCGTAACTAAATTCGCCGTACTCTTCGTGCTGAAGTGTTGACGGTAGTAAGCCTAGTAGTAAAACCAAAATCCAGAACATGGTACTGAAAACACACATTTGAAAAACACTGAATCAGACGAAGTAACTTACGTATTTAAATTGATTTTGTCGTTGTTAGCAAGTGAGAAAGTCTTTAACATATAAAAGTTATCAAGTGATAATAGTGTCAAAGGGTATCAAAGTGCATGGGACAATACGACCGCTGCCTCTGCTATCAGTAACCAAACAAGCTGAAATCATCAATGACTGAAAGCATTGTATCTAAAAAATAAAGTTGATGGTTCCGCAAAGACGAAACGTCGAATTCAAAAATTAGCAAGAGCATTATAAGTTGCTGTGGGGAAATCTCATTGGTTATTGGCTTTAGGTCAAAAAATAATTCGTAAAATCAACAAATCGGATTTTTTTAAATTTTTAAAAAAACAGAAAATGTTTTCAGAGATTTCTAAACACTATCTTCTTAGACATTTGTTTGAGCAACTTGTTTCCTTTTTAATAAATTTGGTATCTCTTATCGTTTCTATGCTAATAGTGGCCCTTCTTATCTCGCTCACAGTGTATATGTTACGGTGAAAAAAGGGGTGGTGCAGTTCCCTTTAAAACTTTAGGGGAAGGGAAAGTACTTCCACTTATGAAACTAAGAAAATATTAAAATTGAGAAAAAATCATTCCGAGGGGACCGTTGAAAAAAGACGATTTCGGGAAAACAATTTTTAAATATTACTGTTACTCCTATTGCGTTAATTGTTCATCCAAGAATTTATCCAAACTTTCCGAAAAATTAACAAATCTCTCTCTTTATTTTAACAGTCCGCGGCGGACCGACGGACAGACAGAAAGAACCAATTTCATAAACAAGTTTTCCATCCCAATAGTGATTTTTAGGCTAATTCGACACCATGATAAAATGCTCAATTGTGTTTGAATGAAGGTTATTTGGGAACAAAAAGTTTATGCACCCACATTGACAGAGACCAAGGTTTCACACCGTGAAGCTATTTAGTCACTTCTCTATTTAAAGCTGTAGCTTCAAGACCGGACTCTTGAACTACATAAAAGGAACCCAGAACCCAGAGTATTGTACAAGCGTTGTTGTGATGATCTTGAAGGGTTCTGTGATGCTGATTATGGAGGAGACCGAGAAAGGAAGGGATTGCATAAATGCGTATCTTAGCATACAATTTGAAAAATCACCAGCACACGATTGTCAATAGCATAATTATAAATCTTCTCATTTGCACTTAGTTATATTACCCTGCTCATTTACTAATTCAAAGAAGACGTAGGTACCATTGTTTGTTAATAATCATTTCCCAAGGAACGTATTCATGAAGTCATAAAGAAAATGCTTGTCGGCCGTCTTCGCAATCAAGGCGTATATCATAAAGACCGATACACCCAAATGAAGCAGTGCAGACTCTCCGATTATCCCATAGTTCGTAACAATGCTAATTTATTTAAAAAAGAATTGGATTTATGTTTAGGTCGCATGTATTTACATCTAGATAAAGAAACACAGACTTCGCAATCTTTACAACCATTGAGGGCATTCGTGTTAGTTATTTAAAATAGTGGGAATCTTAGGGTAGATTAAACTGTATGGCAGTTGAATATGAGCTCTAGAAGTGTTTCATGTTACAATTTATCGTTAGGCACTACCATTGAATGTATAATAGTTATAAATTCAATGGTACTACAGCAGTTTAGACGAATGCCGTAATGCAGGCAGTATGCTACTGGATGTTGGTGCTTTGTCTGGTGATTACGAAGTCGTCCTAGAAGATCTCATATCCATTATTCAGGAATCTACAAAACTTGGATTTTAGCAAATGTGAATTGTGTTTCCTTTGCACTGAACATGATTTTATTTCCACAATTTTTCTGGAATTAACTTGATAAAGTCTATGGGATGTCCTCCCCATAATCATGGAATATCTTCAGCTATTGGAAAACGTAGTCTCGAACTTCAAAGAGTTATTTCACGAATGGTTCATTTTCCATTCCATTCTGCCTTTTATCTTTCAATTCCAAAACTGTACTAATCTGTTGCCGTTCGAAACCCGACTTGCCGCTTTTTTGATTCCATCATTCAAGATTTGTAATTTATCATTCCTGGTTACAAGCAACTATCCCACAGATTCTAACGAAACAAATGTTGAACATAAGTAGATAAATAAACTTTGGTTTGCTTACTTGCTCTAAAAATACGCATATAAATGACCCGAATTCTCTGAAACAAGGTAGAAGGATACGTACTTTATACGATCTCATTTTTTCGTATCATACACGATCGTTTTATGCGTATATTTAGGTACCTATAGGCATTTTAAAACTGTATATTTTCGACATTATTTTATACCACGTATGCATTTGCGATCCAAAAACGTTGCCGTATTTGGTAAGTTGACAATAATAATAATAATAATAAATTGCATACAATTCAAAATCAAAACAACCCAGTTTGTGAATATAAGAACGTGGTGGGGGTTTTCTATATGTTTTATACGACAAAAAACAGCACAAAATGAGCATAAAACCACGGTAAACGGTACGGTACTAAGTACGATTTCTAAACTTTGCATGGCACACCTCTGATACAGTAGGTGAACATTACGTTCAAGGATTATTTTCAGTCATTAGATGATATCAACTTGTTTTGTTACTGATAGCAGAGGCAGCCGTCGTATTAATTGTCCCATGCACTTTGATACCCTTTGATACTATTATCACTTGATAACTTTCATATGCTAAAGACTTTCTCACTTACTAATAACAACAAAATCAACTTAAATACGTAAGTTGCTTCGTCAGATTCGGTGTTTTTTCAAATGTGTGTTTTCAGTGCCATGTTCTGGATTTTGGTTTTACTACTAGGCGTACTACCGTCAACACTTCAGCACGAAGAGTACGGCAAATTTAGTTACGCTAATAACATTCTTTCCTTTCAAGAGGTGAGCACCACCGATGGCGTATCCGAAATCGTGCATGAAGAAGATGGACTTGATCCAAAACCTCCCAGCATCTTCGAGCGAACTTCAATTTCAAAGGTGTTTTTGTTGAATCGCAACTTGACAGCAATTCAAGAAGGTACTTTCAATGGATTTGGTTCGTTAAAAGTTCTTAATCTCGATGAGAATTTAATCAGCCATATTCCTGAACGTGTGTTTGATGGCCTGGACAGCTTGATGGTCATCAGTTTCAAACGGAACCAACTCGAACAGTTTAAGATCGTTTCGAGTTCCGTCAGGTCGCTACATTTGAGCAAAAATCTACTTAAAAAGGTAACTAACGAAATGTTTGCTAACACACCCAGTATCGAGATATTGAATTTACACGGAAACATTTTGGAGGAACTAGAACCACTTGCATTCTCGAGCTTAGGCGACTTAAAATCACTTACTCTAAGCAACAATCGCATCAAAACACTGCCCGACGACATTTTCGTGCATTGCCCAGAAATCGTCAACCTTTACCTCGAAGATAACCAATTGAAAGCGTTAGGTGGAAGCTTTCAACCACTGAAACACTTAATTACGCTGTTCCTACAAAACAACAAAATCGCTGAAGTTGACTCGAGGGCTTTCCACAACTTAAAAGACCTAAACACTCTGGACCTTAGTAACAACTCGCTCGTAACCCTTCACGAGGCCGTGTTTAAGCATCTCGATCAATTGGGCGAGCTTCTATTGCAAAATAATCAAATTGAAGACTTACCCGATGCAATTTTTGGCGATTTGAGTAAACTTAGCCGTTTACTGTTGAATGGAAACAAGATCACCTCACTCCAAGCCGACATCTTTCAAGGCTTAAGAGAGCTGCGAAATCTCAAGTTGGGAAACAATCAGATAAGGTCATTGGTTAAGGGCAGTTTTACCGGATTGGACCGTTGTTACGATCTGGATTTGACGAAGAATAACCTTTCGCGCTTAAAAACCGATGTCTTTACCGGTCTGAAGAGTTTGGAGCAACTCATCTTAAATGAAAACGAATTGAGCGAGGTCGACGTTGGTGCCTTTAATGGTTTAGATTTGCTTTACATTATCAGTTTGGAAAACGCCAAAATACAGACTCTTGATGCTTTGGCCGAGATGGGAGGTCTTCAGATTATAGCCCTTCGGGGTACGAAATTTCAAAACGATACAGAATTACGCGTAGGTAGTAAGCTGTATAAAGTTAATACTTATCAAACTTGGGTGCTAGCATGAATAAATTTTCTTTTCTAAGCGGTTATTATTTTCCACAAAAGGCACCGATCGAAGTTTCAAGTACCAATAATCAACTGTTGCTCGGTTTCACAAACGATGACTAATAGTTATTTAATATACAAGATGATCAAGGGATATTTTCACGAGATGGTTAGTTTCCATTTATCGTCGTGTATAATAAAACAGAAGCCATTTAAATGTAAAGCTTCTGACAACTTAGACGTCAAAAATAGCAAGCTTAGTTGCATCGTTTCTATAGAAACAGCATTGTATTCTGTCCTGAACTTCCTTGTATATCGTGCTTCGCGTTCTATTTGAAATAAGAATAACAGATATCATTAGAACGCATACTCATCTGTTTCGCGGAAACACGAAGGGACGGTTGGTGGCATCGATTCTCATCTAATGCGTTCAACAACAAATCACCATTTCAACGGGACGCAAAATGCCTTCGAAATTCGTTCTTTTGCATGAACGATCAGCCGTGCTTACTCTATTTCTGAAGGAGATAAACTGAAGAAAACATGGGGATTGGTGGACAACGTCATCCCAATGTGATTGGCAAAGAGCAGCTGAAGAATCTAAAGGGTCAACCTTTGTTAATGAAGTCCCGGGGATTGAAAAGAGAAGAAAGTGGAGTTTTGCAAATCGTGGCAAAATTATTAATTTTTTTGGGAGAAAATTTTTAATTTAAAACTTTTAGCTGCACTAGTTACACATGACCTCCAATTTTCCTAGAAAAACTGTTTTTTTCATTTTTTATTCTTATTTTTGCGAAAAATAGTAGGGGTTTGAAATTTGGAGGAAACATAGCTTGTTGTATGATAAAAAAGGAAACAATTTTTTGGACCCGTAACGTTGAACCGTTTCCGAGATCTCACAATTTCTGAAAAAACCACCTCTTTTCAAGGGGGTGAAAAATCTATTAAAGAAAAGCGGCAAAAACTGAGGGAACAGTTTTAAGATATACGCGGTTTTTGACATTGGATCCGTGCTAATAAAGAGCTTTTGAAATCTGTCTTCTCTCTCCTCTCTAATGTTTCTAAAATATTTCTTTTCTTTCTTAGTGCCCAACTGCCTTAATTAAACATCTTTATTATTTATTTTTTCTACATTTTTACCACAATAAAAGCAATTCGAAGTAAAATCGAATTCTTTTGCTTCCTGAACAATTTGTTTTTGTTCACTAACTCTTCTTCCTGCCTGTTTTGCAGCTGTTGGGATTAAGCTGGACCTATTGATCGTTAATTTACAGGAATTATGATTAGGATCCTCATGAAATTTATTTCAGGTTTTATATTTCAAATTATTTATTTATTACTAACGTTCTTATTGCAGATTTTGCAAGTTGATCAACAGGTCCAACGCAATTGCATCAGCTATAAAATAGGGTCCTGCCTCAGTCAGTGAACAAAATCAAATTGTTCAGAAAGCAAAATAATTCCATTTTACTTCGAATTTGCTTTTATCACGGTAAAAATGCAGAAAAAAGAAATAATAAAGATGTTTTAAAACAGTTGAGTATAAGGAAACAGAAGTGAATATTTTAGCAACATTAAAGAGAAGCAAGAAGACAGATTTCGAAAAAATCTTTATTATCATCCAGCACGTTGATTTATCATGTCAAAAACCGTGTAGGTATATCTAAAAACAGTTTTTCGAGTTGTTGGCGATTTTCTGGAAGTTTTTCTATAGGAATAATATTATTTTATTTTTGTTTATTAAAATATAAGTCTTCCCAAAAATTTTGCTACCCCACGCACCTCTGTACGATGAAAAAAATAGATTTTTCATCCCCTTAAAATAGAGGTGTTTTTTTCAGAAATCGTGAGATCTCGGAAACGGTTCAACTTTACGGGCCCTTTTTTATCAGTAGTAGCATTTTACGTTTCCTTCAAATTTCAAACCCCTACGACTTTTTTTTCGTAAAAATAAGAATAAAAAACGAAAAATACAGTTTTTCTGGTATTTCTAGGATTGGAGGTTAGGTGAAAATAGTGTAGACACAAAAGTCGTTCATTTCTTTATTCCCTATAACTTTTATATTGAAAATTTTCGCCTAAAACTAATAGTTTTGCCACAAAATGCAAAATACCACTTTCCACCCTTTTCAACCGCCGGGAATTCACCGGCAGAAAAATTCAGCTGTTAATTATTATTCCATAATTTCTTATCATTTCACCTGTATGAAAAACGAGATTTGAACCGGTAACTAATTTTTTTTGTCAAAAATATTACATAGACTGGACTATGTGTCAGAATCACTTGTTTGTATTAAATGCGTACCAATCAACAGTAACACTGTTTAAACATGCGGATTAAAATGAATGAAACTGGCCCTTATCGTAGGTGACTTTACAATGTGGACAACTACACCGCTTAGATAACGTTTACTAATTGATTGTGTCAATCGAATATTTAACTGGATTGCAAGGCCGTAGGAAATGAAAGTCCACGACTCGACCACAAATCAAAATTGGCCCCATGGTTCTGATCCGCGAATAATCTTCCTCCATTGCATTGGCAAATGGCAATTGGGTAAAATAGTAGCGATTCACCCTGGAAACGACGGGATTGTGAGAGTGTAAAGTTGAAGAATGGTGTGAAAACAGCCCTTACTCGAATTTGTAGTTTACCACTCTAGGATGACAATGAGCACGAGTTTCAAGCTACGAACAAGACTCAACGAATTTCAGAAACAATGTTCTGAATAACTGAAAATTATGTGTAGGTATCCTTACACCAATCAGGTTTTTAATTAATATTTTGTTTGTACAGAAATATGTACTATTTGCTTCACTATATATCACATCATTAAACAGGAAGAAATTAGTGGTATAGAACCAAAAAAAATACACAACAGGGTTGTAATCTTTTTGTGATGCCCCAAATATAGATTATTATCTATATGGAAATTACCCTCTACAAATAAAGTCTCTGTTAGATTAAAATTACGTAAGTTTGAAAAAAATTAACCTTTACATGCATAGTACCTATAACAAATACTTTTATTCCTTTCACAGATTATTTTTGAATAATTTATAAAGTACCCTGCAATTCGTCTCCAAAAATAAATGTTATTCTCTTTTTAAAGTTGCGTCATTTTGTAGAAAGTTTGTAATTACATTTGTAACAATCGTCCATTGCACTTTTGTCGAGTACACTTAACTACCTGACTACAGCTTGGGAAAATTTAAATTTTATTTCCAGACAATGCATAAATATTACAAATGTTTTCAATACAAATCGTAATTTTTATCTCGACTAGTTTCCTTTTTTTCTATTACCTTCGTCTTTGTTCTCTACTTCTTGTTGTTTTTCAATTGTTTCATAATTATGTGGCTCCCATTCCTTATTGTAAGGTTAAGGGTCACGTTAGTCTAGATTTATAAAGTAAAACGTGTAAAGAATAGTAAAAGCAGAGAGAGACTCTTGTGTTCAGTGTAGCTAAATGCCTATGGTAACGAATATTTAATGAATAGGTACGCGTATTTGTATTAGAAAGTTGAAATGAAACGTAATTGAATTGGGTAATTACGCCAGATTCGTGTAATTAACATGCTCATTGGCATGGAGGAATGGGGTTTTTGTTAAAAAAGGTTCTCGTGTTGGTAGACTTGTATTTACAAAGTAAATTGATGAAGGTACCTACTACATAAATATCTCTAAAACTTAACGTAATTCTCTTACTCTACATAAATCGTATTAAAAGTGTACAATTCGGCGTAATTAATAAATAATACATAATTATACTTACGAATAAGGATTACCGAAACACTATTTTACAAAACATCGATAATTGTATAAGTCTCAAATATCACTAACACTCAGTATATCTACACGCGGACTGCCTTTTTTCCCGTACTGTTCGCGACGAATAAAACGCAAAATTTATGGCAGTGACTTCTTGTTTAGAGAGACTTTCTTTTGGTATTTTAAATTTTCTAATTCGACTCAAATTTAGTTAGTTGGAGGTGATTGGGTATGCTGCTCGCATCCTATTACGTTTTCGGGCCAATCGCAGACGTTTTGGTCGGCGTTGAAGACCAAATTAACCGGACAAGGCATGTGATGCTTCCTTTCGCCTTCGCACATGAAGTAATGGGTACAGTCGGATTTGTCGCGGTGGTAACTGATATGGCCGTCTTCCTCCTCGCACACCACCTCGTTTGCTGTAACGGTGGCGTGTTGGTATGAGGTTAACCGTGGGAGATACTTACGATCCTTAGTGGTGTACTGTCCGTTCGGGTTTGAGCTTTCAAATGGACCATCGTAAGACAGCTTAACTTTGTAACCGGCCAGCTCTTGCTTCATTGAGGCAATTAAAGGATACTTTAATCCTCCACAATGTCCTCGAAAATCATCCATGTCAATGGACCAGATCATGATTCCTCCAAAGCCTTCTTCTTTCAACCAAGCGATCTGGAACAAGTCTTGGTTATCTAATAAGACGTAACATCGAACTCACCTTCGTTTTTAAACTTCTTTCGTCATCAAAACCGACCCACTGATCCTCGCGATAAGCGAAGGGGACTTGTTGCTCATTATCCCACACGAGTGTCGTATTTTCGACTTGTAGAAAATCGCATATTTCGTAATAGCTCATGAAACCAGATTCCGATGTGAATTGTCCAGGTTTACCGCCACCGGAGGCCGGGGCGCCTATGTCGAACTGGGACATATTCACCAATTCAAAACTTCGCCCGTACGTAGGCATTCCGATCATTAATTTTTCCTTGGGAGCGCCTTGCTTCACCCACTCCCTTGCCGAGTAATCTACGGTTAATTTCTTTTGATAACTGGTAGCGCTCTCCAGCGGGAAAAGGGGCGAGTTGTGACCGACTGTTCGTTCCCATTGCCCGTGGAAGTCGTACGTCATCACATTGATAAAATCCAAATACTTGGAGATCTCCGGCACGTCGTATCCAGCGGCGATTGCCTCGAATGATGCCGGTACCGCGGCCGTGAGTAGCAGCCTGGGCTGTCCACTGGTCTTAGCCTCGCCCTCAAACGCCAAACGCAGCTCTTTTAGAAGGTTAACGTAAGCGTCACGATCGTCGGACCCGCGGGGGTACTCCCAATCAACATCGAGCCCGTTAAACTTATAATCGCGCAGCAATTCGATGGCATCGTACACAAACTGGTTCATTCTGAACACATTTCCCGTTAGTTCCTTGAACGGCGTAGAGCCGAAGGCCCAGCCTCCTATCGCGAGCAGAATCTTCAGATCCGGATTTTTATCTCTGAGCGCGATTACCTTCTCGTACATTTCCTCATCTTTGTCACTAGCTTCTGCCAGTTTGTGATCCTTTAACGTGGCGAAGGCGTAAACGATGTGTGTGCACAGTTTGGGATCGATGTTGTCGGGAGTAAAGCGACCAAGCCCGGGCCTCTTTTGTGACCAGCTCGTGATGTAACAAAATATTTGCGCGGATCGGCCTAAAAATTAAATGTAACGTTGCGAATGATCCACACTGACTTACTGTTCTTGTCAACGGCTGAAGATTTAATCGTGTACTTCTTATTCGGCTTTCTCACTCGGTTGAGTGCTTCGGAAGCGGAAATTTTAACGGGAGCTGGTTTTTCAATCACCTCTTCCTCCTCTTCCTCTTCAAATCCAGCTACTTTCTCCCAGTCCACATCTTTGGCATCCTTACCTCGTGATATTCCACGAAGCTCTTCCCTGAGATTGGGGTGGAAATTAAGTCGTTTGCAACACGGCGAAAAACTCACCTCATAGCGCCTATTAAAGGGTACTTGACATCGCCACCGCAAACTTTCCCGGAGAAGTCGTCCATGTCAACGGTCCAAACCATAGCGCCACCATACCCGTTGTCTTTAATCCACTTCATTTTGTGCCTGATCGAACGCTCATCATCAAAACCGACCCACTGATCCCCTTGCACGGCGTACGGAACCTTCATCTCATCATCCCAAATGTAAGAAGCGCCATTCCTCAACATCTCGCACACCTCGTAGTAAGCCAAAAACCCGCTCTCCTTAGTGTACACCCCTTCCTTACCGCCGCCCGTCGCCGGCGAATTGACCTTATACCGGCCGGAGTTCGACAAAGTAAACGATCTACCGTACGTCGGCATACCGATGATTAACTTGTCTTTCGGCGCGCCCAGCTTGACCCACAAGCTCGCCGCGTAATCGACCGACAGCTGTTTGCGCCACTCGCTGTCCGAGCTCGGCGAGTAAAGGGGCGCGTTGTGTCCGGTTTCGCGCTCCCATTTACCGTGGAAATCGTACGACATGAGATTTATGAAGTCCAAGTAGGACGAGACCGCCGGCACGTCGTAGCCTCCCTTGATGTTATCGGGACCTACGGGTACGGCGGCCGACAGCAGAAGGCGAGGTTTCTTTATTTCTTGGGCTTCGGCCTCGAACGCTTCTCGTAATTCTACAAAAAATATGTTGGGTTAGTGCAATTCGTTGGGGTGCAAAAGACAATAACCGGAACAGGGTACAAAAAAGACATAAAGAGAGAGGAAAAGGTAAAAAAGAAGATACAAAAAAGGCCTCAACCAAAATGGAGAGAAGGAACTCATCGCACTCTTCGAGAAAGGGTTTAAGGGCTAGGTTAGAAAAACGTAACATATCTCAACGCTTACAGAAGATATCGCTAGAAGAAAAGGGACAACTTAACACTTAAATTTCGAGTTTAACAAGTCAGACTGGAACATCTACTACAAAATCTGACCAAGAATCTGACTTAGAAGAAGAATCCCTCACGCTTGTAAATAAGCTTAAAAGGGAAAATATTTCAATGAAGAAGAAATATGATTGAAGAAGATCAAGAAGCATTATGAATGTCCTCGAATGAAAACCACGCAGACAAAGGAGAAAATGTACATTGTCATCAAGTCCAAATGATTTCCTCACTCAGATCGCAAAAGAAATGACAGCTTCTGCACATGCAATGGCACCATCTGCGTCACAGTTGCATAAAGTTTCGCAAGATGAAGGAACAGCGCTCAAGAAGACAAGTGGTGTTTTCTTTGTCTTCAATCAGGCCATTCGTCAAGTAAGTGTTCTGATCAAAACCGGAAATGCAAGGAGTGGAATTGGCTTCTGGGATAACCCCTGCAGCAATATAGTCCAGGCTAAATAGCTCTAAAATAATTTATTTAAAAAAAAATTAGTTACCGGGTGAAACTGTGGTTTTCAGACAGGTGAAATTATTAGAAATTGGGAAAAAATAATTATAACAGCTGAATTTTTTCGCGGGTGAAATCCCAGGTGTTGAAGGGGGTGGAAAGTGGTGATTTGCAAATTGTGGTAAAGCTATTAATTTTAGACGAAAATTCAATGTAACAGTTAGAGAGATTAAAAAAATGAGAAACTTTTGTATCAGCACTATTTTCACATAATCTCCAATTTTCCTAGAAAAACCGGAAAAACTGTTTTTTTCGTTTTTTATTCTTATTTTTGCGAAAAAAAAGTCGTAGGTGTTTGAAATTTGGAGGATAAAAAAGGAGATAATTTTTTGGATCCGTAAAGTTGAACCATTTCCATGATCTCACGATTTCTGAAAAAAAAACACCATTTTTTCAAGGGGATGAAAAATCTATTTTTTTCCATCGTAGAGAGATGCGCGGGGTAGCAAAATTTTCGTAAGGACTTACATTTTAATAATCAAAAATAAAAAACATTATTCCAATAGAAACATTTTAAGAAAAGCGGCAAAAACTGGGGGAACAGTTTTAAGATTTCGTTTTTCACATGGTAGGGAAATAGCGAACAAATCTTCCAACACGTATAATTTATCATGTCAAAAACCATGTATATCTTAAAACTGTTTTTCCAGTTTTTGGCAATTTTCTCGAATTTTTGCTATAGGAATAATATTTTTTTTATTTTTGTTTATTAAAATATAAGTCTTCCCGAAAATTTTGCTACACCGTGCACCTTTGTACGATAAAAAAATAGATTTTTACCCCCTTGAAAACGAGGTGGTTTTTCTAGAAATCGTGAGATCTCGGAAAGGGTTCAACTTTACGGGCCCAAAAAATTATCCTTTTTTTATCATAAAAATAGCAATCTTTACTCCAAATTTTAAACCCCTACGAATTTTTTTCGTAAAAATAAGAACAAAAATCGAAAAAAAAAAGGTTTTTCCGGTACTTTTGGAAAATTGGAGATTATGTGTAAATAGTGCAGATGCAAAAGTTGTTCATTTTTTTATTTCTATATAACTTTTAAATTGAACATTTTCGCCTAAAATTAGTAGTTTTGCCACAAATTGCAAAATGAACCCCTTTCAACCCCCGTGATTTCACTCGCGGAAAAAATCAGCTGTTTTAATTATTTCTCCCCAATTTCTAATCATTTCACCAGCATGAAAAACCCGGTTTGAACCGGTAACTAATTTTTTTTGTAAAAAAATATTATATAGCCTGGACTAATAAGAAGTATACTTAGTTGGTATGCAGTTTACGACCCAATTGATAAATTATATCTATTTTAGAACACATCATCCAAGAATATTTTGGAGTGAAACCAGCTCCAACAACCAAAGGTAAAGAAGATGAGATTGCTATGAAAATTCTTCAAGAAACTACAAACAAGAAAGACAGTTGATGGGAAACTGGACTGCTGTGGACGGTCTGAGTTAGCTTTCAGTTACCACATAGCTCAAAAAAGGCTTCGCACAATGGATATCTTGTCCCAAAATCCACTGAGGATGCGACCGGAAACGGTTCGGAAAATATCAAAGGGTGCGGTTTAGGCGCAAGCAGTAGAAAAGAAGGAAGAGAGTGCTATTTACCTTGGTTTTCTGCGTACCAAGAATTTCAACGCTGAAACATACAAAGAAAGGTTCCTGATTGCAAGTAAAGCAATCCAAGAGCAGATATGCGTAGATGACTGTCTTGGTGGAGCAGAGCCCTAAAAATAAACCATAAATTTATAAGGTATGTGAAGAGTTTTTTGTAAGTTAAATGGAATTGCTCATCAACCCTATATTACAAGCAATACCCGAAAATTTACGTAAAGTGAACAATAGAACAAGAGTTAAATTCCGTTCCAAAAGACATTAGGACCCCGTAAGAGATTGCTTCAAGTTTAGTTTAAACATCTAAGACGGTGGGTCCAGCATCCAAGATGGTGGATCCAGCATCCAAGATGGTAGGTCCAGCATCCAATATGATCGTGCACCCCCGGTCAATTACCGAAATATGATCCCAAACCCCGGACAACTGCCGAAATATCATCCCGTGCCCCGGGCCAATTGCAAAAATTTGACGTTGCAACACCAACTGCCGAAATATTTTCCCACGGTCTCCCGAAGCCAAAGTACCGTAATACCTACTACCAACCAGAAGGGAAATGTCAAGCTCTGTCATGACTATCTTCGATCCCTTGCTTTTCTTACACCAAGCAAGATGCAAGGATTGTCAATCCTATAGTTAGTTTGGAGATCCCAAACATAGATTGGGATGACGAAGTACAGGAAGCAGTTATGCCATATTGGAAGAAGTGGATTCAGGATTTGGAACAAGTCTCAACATTGAAGCTCGATCGAAAATACCTCAATCTTGAATGCTACGTCAATTCAGCTCCACATTTTCAACAACACGACTGAAACTCAGTCGCCCTCCTCAGAATAAATACAGGGGAAAGTATTAAAGTTTCATTCGTTGCTTTAAAATCTTGTGTTGCTTCCGTGAAAGGATTCAGGACAATTCCAAGGGGTGGATAAGAGGGTGGAGAAATTTCCGACCTTTCAGAGGTAAACCAATGGCACTGGATTCCCACAAAGCTCGACATGGCAAATTATGGAACTAGACCAAGCCAATCAGCAGACTTCGATTATTATCGCTGGGTAGATGGAGAAGATTTCTTGATAAAAGATGAAGATTAACGGTCTGCAGAAATGCCGCCACCTTCAAGAATTGAACATTGGAGTTGGATAGCAGCTTGTGATGTCATTTGTGTTATTCCCCAAAAGCTTCTTTAATTGGATTAGATTGTTGTTTGCCACAGACCGATGTGATATCTTGAAAAAAATTCTATCCGCAAATGATAGGACTTGCCAAAGAGGTGCAAATTAAAAGATGCGAAGAGGAAAGGTTTACAGAACTCAAGGTGCTGTGGAGTTTTCAACCTATAGCAAAAAAGGAAATGGGAATGCTGCCTGAAGCAAGAACTCGTCCTAGAAACCCAGTCTTTTACTGCACCGGGGTACACAGAGTACCATGGTACCATTACTACCATTCACTTGGAAATTTCTGACATACTAGCCTCCAACGACATGATCGACTTCATCAACATCAGAGGAAAGCCTGCTGAAATCTGTAGAGACAACGAGAAACATTTTGTTGATGCAGAAAAAAAATTAATTAAGTTTAATTGGTCCGGTATCTCTAAAAGAACAACATGGAAGTTTATGTTCCCCCGTTTACCTCATATGGAAGGACGCCGGGAACGGATGGTAGGACTCGTAAAAAAATCTGGAACGAGCAACCCCACAGGAGAACGCCCTAACAACATTCTTTGCAGAAGTTATCGGTATCCTCAACTCCCACCCGCCCACTTATATCTCAAATTCACCGGAAGACAACGATGTGAGTATACAAATCTCCTGGTCAACAGCCCAAGTTTAGAAGAGAAGTGAAAAAGCACACAATGTTTAAGAAGTCCTGGAAGCACAGCCAGTTCACCGGATTGCTTCTGGAAACGATGGTCGAAGGAATACCTCCCGTGGTTAGACAAGAGGCAAAAATGGCACTAGAAGCGACAACCCGATCAAGGTTGGAGATGTTGGACTCCTTATCGAAGACAATGCCTGGAAGAGAAGGCTATAATCGAATATGCTTGAGAATGCTCATGCTGAAAGTAGTCCATGGAGATCCGAATGACCCCACGAAGTCAGTGATGATATTCTACAAGAGACCAGTTATCAGGTTTTGCAAACTCGATTCCAATGAAGTCTCACCGAAGGATGTGGGCAGTAGAGATGTGGAAAGGAATGGCAAGGGTGGCTGAAGTATTTAAATGTGAAGGAGGGAGAATTCTAGAAGCTGTAGAAGGACGAGGCGTGCGGAATATGGGAAGAATCAGTCGAAAAGCTGTAAAAAAAAGTGTGAAGGATGTTCAAAAAGGGCGTAAACGAAGAAAGGGTGCAAGAAAAAGGCAAGCAAGAGACTTTAATGAAGAATTTTACAAAACCTGAAAGTATTTCACTAGTTTTAGTATGAAAAGCGTCAAGTAAACTCCATCATTTTAATATCAAACTAAAAATGTTAATTCATCAAAATTTGAAAGTAAAAAGCGTGAGAGATAGAAGATAATAAAGGCTAGTGCGCTTATTGCTAAACAAGGTGTTAGTGGCAGGCCTTATTGTATTTGAATTTGTGGGAAAATTCGGGAGTAGATGAATGAAGATTTGCTTTAAAGACACCCAAGTATAATGTGTTGTGTGGTGAAACGCCTGTTCTGAACCTACCACAAGGATCTTTTTATCATTTCCGTATTCACGTTAATTTCTGGCGATTCCGTGCCCATTCTTCGATTCAAATTGAAACAGGGTTCGTAGTGGCAACAAAAACCACATCTAGAACTGGGTCATAATTAAATCGAAGTGCAAACTGAATGATCAAGTCGAAAACTGATCAAAAATGAATCAGGAGAAAGGTTACAATCACTTTCACATAATTTGCGTTGAAAATACCATTAAATCTAAATAAATTCATGTATTCATAATGTTTGTCATTAACGCGAACAAAAACAAACTTTCTACATTAGAAGCGGGAATAAAACAAACACTTGACAAGGTACTTTAGCCGTAATTGGTTTTCACCGACCTCAGTTTCAATATAAGCATTGTCTTTTTTCCTGTTGAGAGTTCGCGAATCGGAACAAAGAAAGTCGATTGTATACAAATTATTTTACCGCCGACAATGACGATCCTTGAGCGTGATGGTCAACGTGTCGCTTACCTTTTAGTAGGTGCACGTAGTTCTTCTTGTCGTCCGATCCCTTGGGATATTCCCAATCGATGTCGAGGCCGTCGAATTCCCGATCGCGAAGGAAGGGAATGGCGCTGTAGATGAAGGTTTGTCTGGCGTAGCGGGTGTTGGTCATATCTTTGAATTTCTGGGTGCCGAAAGACCATCCGCCTTCAAAGTAAAAATGTTAGCAATTGTGGGTTGGTGGGTGGACTTTTACCGATAGCCAGAAGAATCTTTAATTTCGGGTAGCCCTTTCGAAGACTGCGGATCCGTTCGTACAGTCCCGTTTTGCCATCCTTGGTCTCGTCGTTGCTCTCAAACGACGACAGTTTTCCTTTCTTCAGCCAGCCAAACGCGAAAATGATGTGCGTGCAGAGATCGGGCGTAATGTCTTCGGGCATAAATTTACCGATCTTCGGCCTGTACTGCGACCAATTTGTGTAGTAGCACACCACCTGGAAGTACAAAGGTGCAAAAATGGCCCAGGAGCCGGTCTCCTTACCTTGTATCCATCATCGTCCTTGTTACTCTTGGTCGAACTGCTGGAGGCGATGGCGTTGTCGATTGTTTTTCGGTGACCGGGTCGCGTGCGAACTTTGAACCGATTTACACTCGATGACAAATCCTGATCTCGCGTCCGCACTGAATTTTTTTGCGCGATGGGCGCGGGCGAATTTGTTGTTGTGGTCGTTGATGACGGCCTACGCAATCTTCTTCTCGTGACTGTAAAGAATCGCAGATTTAAATAAACGTAGCCTAGAACTTGACTCTTCCGATTAACATTTGAGCCTTGGGCGGCAATTTCACTTTCTGGATTGGCCCAGATACCTACCCAACGTGAGGTTGTCACACGCAGATCCGCATAAATCAAAAACAAAAAGCGCCAGTGTTAGACAAATAAAGGCATTAACGCCTGTTTGCTTCTACTCATTATAATTTCAAATTAATATAAAACCTCAGCTTTTAACGAGACGTAAATTTCTACTGCATCTCGACGATTACGAAGTTTGTCATACTTCAGGGATAACGAACGAATTTGCAATTCTAACACTCGACAAGGATAATCCATTAGGTGGGACAAATTAATGAGAATAATGCGCCGCACCAAACTTATTATTATTATCGTCGAAATGTTTGTTCTTTGGTACAGTTCTAATAAGCGCAATACATACACCTCTGCCTTATTACAAACCTTAGTTCCGTCACAGAATTTGTTAACAAAATCTGTTATTGAAAAGGCATAGGGAAAAAATCACCCCCTAGCAGAAGATCTATATTTTAAAGTTTTCTGTATTTGTTACAACAAACGTTTATACGGGTGGCGTAACAATCTTTCTCGTTAATCCAGAAAAGTGTGAGAAAAGCTTGGAGGGTATAGCGTTTGATATAATTACCAAAGGTAAAACCGAAACGGAAGTTAAATGAGATCCAAGATGGGGGATCGGTACCGAAAAATCAAATATTGACCATACAATCATTTTGTGCCATTTTTGATGCAAATTTTGTGCTATTCTGATTTCGAGTTATTCGACAAATGACAATCATGTAGTACCACAGTTAAATCTGTGGTAGTACGATGCCGTACTTTAATTTTGTACTATTTTCTACAGTATTATTATACTTCTTAACTTCAATTTTTCGCGTGTGTTCGTTCAGCCCAATTTTGTGCAAATTGAGTGCTATTTTTTACTTGGAATAGAATTCCATCATACCAAAATTCACTAGGGAAAAATACGGTTTGTTTTGCAAGCTTGAATTAGAAGCACGATTGTGGCCAAGAGGTTCCAAGTTCGAATTGGGTTTGAGTATGGCAATTTTATGTGTTTTGGGATCAGGTTGATACAGCAGCATCGGTCTAAACTGCGCCCATTTAAAAATAAGGTTCTTTATTTAAAAAACTCAAAGATTCTGTCTAAGATATTTGTCGATTCGTGAAAAGTTATTCAGAGCAGGAGCTTTTTCAAAGATTCTTTGTGGATTTTTCTGTTTTACTTTAAACGGTCTTGGGAAAATTTTCAATGCTTCAATTTTAAGCGTTAGAGATTTCTTAGATATTCCTTGGAAGATTTTTAAACCTTATCGAGTGGCTTCTAAAGATTCTTATGAATCTATAAAGATAAGTATTAAGGATATTTTTTAGTTTGCTATTCTTCAGAAACCCCTTAAAATTATTCAAATTTTAATGCAGGGGTGCCAGGAAGCGTGGTCTAACAAAGTTAGACGCTCGGGTTCTACGCTTTATCCTAGTTTAACAGCGCTAGCGTTATATACAATATTTTTTCTACAACTAAACCGATTGTTAATTAAATTTGCTCTTTAAGTTCAACTTTATCACGTGCGCGAAATACTTTTTTTCATAAATGTCCATTTGAATGCTATTCATGAAATTGACCAGAGCATCAAATATGGTTTAAATCACCTATTGACAAGTTATCGCATGAACAGTAGGGCGACTCGGCTAGGCCAATTTTATTAAGGTGAGCGGGGAATTTCCCGTGGTTAACCGAGGCACGTGGCGCAGTGGATGCGCTCACCGATGCTATTCGAGAGGTTGTGGGTTCGAATCCCGCTGCCGACTGCTCTGTCTGGGGTTTTGTCAGGGGGTTTTCCCCAGACATACCTTCGCATAATGCTAGCATTATGTTGAAATCTACGAGGCGAATGCTGGAGCAGTACTCTCCCCCTCAGCAACCTAACTCCGTTCCTTCCGTTTCCATCCCTAACTTTACCCATCCTTACAATCCCGTTCTCTGGCTGAAGAGGGTCAGGAAGCCCTGAGCAGCCCGCCTCCGGTATCCTTGTAGTCAGGGGTGCCGGAGGAATGAAACACGTTGACCTTTTTCCTGTTTCCCTTTTTCCCGTGGTTAAGTTTTAATCTAGTGATTGAGACCGCGTATTTTCTGGTGACATTGAAATTTGAAATATGTGGTGTCTTGCATGGTACCTTGGGGTGTATCAGGGTATAATGGTTCTTGGACTTTGTCGTAAACTCTTGCCAATGGAGATCCCAGCTTAATCTCATGTTCTTCCTTGCCAAATTCGCTAGGTCGCAAAAAGGCGAAATTTTGAATAATTTAGTTCCCGACGCAGCTTCTTTGGCAAGTTCGTCTGCCTTTTCATTTCCTGCAATTCCCGAATGCCCCTTAACCCAAACAAATACAATATTACGTTTTGAGATTTCTAATGTAAATATGCGTTGCTTAAGTTGACACATGATCTCTGAATTACACATTTTTAAGAAATTTAGATTATTTAGTGCAGTAAGAACGGATTTAGAGTTAGACAGAATAACCGCGTTTTGTGATATATTGATTTCTATGAGCCATTTTAACGCCCTGTCTATGGCCAACGTTTCAGCAGTGAATATGGAACATGATTCCGGAATTTTACATTTATAATGAAGATTGGTATTTGGAACGAGAAACGCCAGTCCAGCCCCGCTTGAGGATGGCGATCCATCTGTATAAATGTTCATATATATAGTTATTGTATCGACCTAGTATGGACCGCAGAAGTGCATTATTGTACGCGCTACTTTCGTTGTATTTTGGGAATATAACAGTCAGTCTGAACATGATAGCGTCGAAGTCAAGATCGTAAATTGGAAGTTTGCTATATTTACTTTCTACTTCAGTATTTGTGAACGCTTCTGCCAACATAGGTCCTTTTTTCAACTTCCAGTAGTCTGAAGTTAGGTTATTAATTGCGAGTTGATATACACTTTTCATGATTGTACAGTTGAAAGAAAAGGTTTTAAGTTTAATAACTTCCTTGGAAGCTAGATAGTTGCGTCTTATATACAGTGGCGGGTCCTGAGCCTCCACTAAAATCGCTTGAACCGGCGAAGATTTCATAGCTCCAATACAGATTCTTAATGCATTATATTGAATTCTGTCGACAGCACGCAGATGACATACTGCCGCTACCCCGTACAAAGGACTACCATAATCCAATATGGAGCGAATGTATGCTCTGTAGAATTGCAGAGCAATGACAGGAGCTGCACCCCACTTGGTTTTTATGACACATTTAAGCATGTTAGTACCATAGTCACATTTGCTCTTTATATGTTCGATGTGCTTATTCCATATAAGCTTGCTATCTAGGACCATTCCTAAATATTTATAATCTTTTTTTATTGGAATGTCCAACCCGCACATCTTGACGCTATTGCTTGTGTGTAGTCTGTGTCGGGTGAAGAGAACAAGAGCTGACTTTTCAGGTGACATGCTAAGATTGTGTTCCCCTAACCAGTTTTCATACAATAGAGGGCATATTTTAGCTCTTTGATGCAAACGCCATAAGAGTCCTGCATGGTATAGAAGCAGAAGTCATCAGCGTATTGTATACATTTGATCTTGGGGTCTAGTAACCTGTGAATATCGTATATATAAACATTAAAAAGTATGGGGCTCAGAACCGCCCCTTGAGGTAGCCCAAGACTGACCCATCTAGGTCCATGTAAATTATTGTTTTGATCTTTAATGTAAATTTTCCGATTTCTGAAAAGATCTACTACATTAGCAGTCGCTCTGGAGCCGATTTTTAAACCTATCATTTTCTCTTCTAACCTGCTCAGTTCAACAGAGTCATATGCCCCTTTTAGGTCAAGAAACCAGCACGCTGCGTAGTAGTTCTTTGAAAATGCACATTGAATGCCTCTTCTGAATCCGTACTGGGTCGATGGTAATTTAGTATAATGTTCTAGATACCGATCTAGCCTCGACTTTATTATACGTTCATATGTTTTTGATATGGATGACGTTAATGAGATAGGTCTGTATGAAGACAGTAAGTTGGGATTTTTATTAGGCTTTTGTATGAGGGTAATTACCACATCCTTAAGTTGATCTTGTGTTACGCCCTTCATCCACCAATCTTTATATAAGTCTAACAACTTCTCTTTTGCAATTTGAGGGAGATTTTTTAAGATACTGTAGGTAATCATCTTTACCGGGAGCAGTTAGGTTTAGCGCCGATTCTAGTTCCGCAAAGTTAAATTTTTTTTTCCATGAACTCATTTTTTTGTAGAGGAAAATCAGTCTGAACGTAAACCACAGTATCAGGGGCAAAATAATAAACTGTCTATCATTCATCTCTAGTGGTATGTTTGATTTAGCACTGGCATATTTTTTGTTGAACACTTTTTTGATGAAGGACCATACTTTAGACGAGGGAGTATTTTTGTTTAAACTGTTTAAGAATTTTCTCCATTTTGTTTCGTTTTTTCTTTTAAATAAAAGTTTAGTTTGAGCTTCAATTTTTTTAACATTGATATAGTTTTCCCACTTAGACGTATGGTTATATTTTTTGTACGCTGTTCTCCGTTCCGCGACTATTTGAGAGCTCTCCTCGTCCCACCAATAAGGCCGTGGAGTAGTAGGTACAAATGGGGTTTTAATTTTCATGGATTTGCTGGCAGCTATTTCAATTAATGATATGAAATCCGACAAAGAAGTCGATTCTGAAGGGATTAATTGGAGTTGAAATATGGACCAATCTGCGGAATTTTCGTTCCATTTGCTATACGGATTTATTACCTCAGGGATATAGTCATAATTATAGTTCATTATGATAGGGAAATGGTCAGATCCCATTCTATCAGCTAGAACGGACCACTTAACTTTACCGATAAGATTGGGAGATGCGATTGACAGATCTACGGCAGATGGGCCTTCATTTGGTTTGCTAGTTGGAGTGGGTGTACCATCATTAAGCACAAT